CTTGTTTAGTTCCATTACGAATATTCATTCCTCCCATTTGCGTCGGCATAGCGAAAATAAGACTAACATACCTGGGCCTCTAGTTGAATCCCCACCCCTTGGAATAGCACACGCAGCTTCACCCGCTGTACGACTACTTAATGAATAAAAAATTAGTATATCATACCATTTCATGATTACTGCCCATCCATATTCCTTCTGAACAGTAGGTGAATTTTTGCAACCAAGTTAATGGGAACATGATATTAGAGAAATGAGATGTGGCATTCTACGATATTAAATTTTTTTGAGACTCAGATTAACCAGCCGGCCTTCACGAACGGACGTGCAAGGCGGAAATGAGATAAGAAAATGAGAAAATAACAGATAAAGGTATATTGACGTCTACAGATAAGCAGCCCTATGCAAATTGATGAGCGGGGGGATGAATTGGCCAGACTAGTTGACCACGGCCAGTGAAGATAAAAATTCATCCATGACAGTCTGTCCCAACGTATTAACGCACATTCCTTATGCGCTGATTAACGCGACGTATCGAACGTTACTATGTAGAGAGATATTACATTCACCTTTGACCCGTTATACGTAAGCATAAATGGTTATTTAATCCACCTTCTAACCCCCCCGAACTGCTTTCTTCCTCTTCCCCTTTCCCCCCAAACTAAGAGTTGTTGAAGATCCATATCTCATGAGATGTGCCTGGGTCTTACCTCTATATAGCAGGGGACTTCCCGCCAACGTCAGATACTCTGGCATATATAAACATCCTTATCTTGTCGATCGGAACTTTCCTACAATCCCGCATCATCGCACTCAATTGTTCACCTTTTGCATCCTTACAGGAGCACAATATCAACAACTTCTCCCCTAAATCCAACCTTTTTTGACGATAAACCGGCTTCAAAGAGGAGCTCTCAAGCGATGCAGCAATAACACTTTCGACGCGAATGAGTGGAATATCGAATATCGAATCTCTTATTCCAGCCATCCTGCACCACACAGGATAGACCTTTCTGCCATGCTCACTCATCCTCGGTGCGAATATAAATGAGTTGGCAAGTTATACATACTGAGCAACTTCTTGACACAGTGGTACTTCGTTGTGGAGCCGCGTTAGTGTTGAGTTTTCATCAAATTATACACATATGATTACTATCAGAATAACAGCGCGACTGGAAAGCCGCAAAATTTGTTGACATTCGGAGAATGAAAAGGGGATAGTCCATGCTGACTAGTTGATGAGGAGCACAGTGACTTCCACCTGCTCTTCCGTGATGGATTAATCTATCCGGTGTCTGATGACATGTTATGGTGAGTCGATAATACCACAGGATAGCTGCTGCCATTGATGCTGACTGGGAATAGCTGCTTGATGATGCCTTGCTAGGGGCTGACAACTTCCAGAATGAATAAACAAAGATTTCATGTTTCTTGTCCACTTGTTGTGACGTCAAGACATCATGAACAATTACTTGCTGTGGCTGGGAGATCAAGGAACGATCAGACATGCAAATATACAGCAGTAGTACAGCTTCAAGCTCAGCTAAGACATTTATTACTGGATAATGTCTATTAGGAAGACCATTAGTGTATGCACTATTATCTTTACAGACATGTGATTTTTAGTATTTACTTTGATCTGATGATTGGGCTGTGGCATGCATTGGGGCTTGTCTATGGGTTCTAAAAGGTAAGTCGATGTATTCACCTTGCAGGAAAGAGCGAGAACGAGCAGACGTTCACCCAATCGTCACATGCTTGCTAACTATAGAGCACTATAGGAGCACACAGCACCATATCATGCTCGCTGCCACAACCTGTATTTGTTCACAACCATGCACTGTGCCTCGTTCACTGCTGCACAGTCTACCTGCTCGCTGCCACAAGCTCTCTTTGTTCACAACAGGAAATTCTGCCTTCCTCGCTGCCGCAGAAGGATCCTACTTCATAGCCTTCTGTATATAACCCACTTCTGAGGGAATTGGTCCATATGTTCCTTCACGAATGGGTTTGCCTCAAAGGTATAAAGCCGGTCTCCTTCCCTGTCGTTTGGCTTCTTCCCTTTTCTCTCCCAGTTCTCACTGCAATTCTGAGACATTGGTTGTATCAATGGATTGGACGGAGTTGAATAAGGTTGTGATTGTCGCAGGTCTTATTGGCTTTGCTATCGTTCTCAAGAATGAGGCCCCGAAGCTTCGAGAATGGTATCGCAAGCTACAGGAAGCCAGAGCTGCTCAACCGGGCGCCCCTGTCTTCCAGCAGTTGGCAGTGATTCGTTCGCCGCCTCCAACTCTGCTGCCGATCCATTCACATTCAGCGATTGAATTTAACTTCTGAGAGAATCAAGGTGCCTTGGGGGAACTCGCCTTGAGGACTCAGGAGAACGGGGAGATCGGATGTGGTATGGAAATGACGCACAGTGGTAGTTGCGTACACATTTCGTTGACTTGGGAACTAGCCTCTTTTTTGAGCGGTTGGCGGAGTTTGGGGACGCCCACCGGCGATGAGTCTACCCTTCTACGTAGGGCCGGTGATTAGTAGCTTTCGGACGAAGCGAAGATGGACTTAGATGTATCTAGATTTAATGCAGTTGTTTTGTACTTGACTTCCTCTTTCTCTTTTTCCTTTTAAATGGTGTTGTTTTTAGAGAGTTATTCTTAGGGAGCAACCCCGATGCAGTGCAATTTTTATGATAGTGCTGTATAGGAGACGTGTCCCGAACATTTGTGCTCTGTTATATAATATTGAAGAACAATCTTCAAAAGTTGACATGTGATAGCAGTTGTTATAAACCTTAGAACTAATTAGTACTCTAATTTCTGGAAGATACCTTTGAGCTGTTACCCTTTTCTCTGTATGATTTTATTGTCGAAATCTTACCTTATATGCTAAATCCGAGAGCCAAAGCATCTCTTAAAAGCACTTGTACTGTTTTACTTTGCAAATATATTATACCGGCGCTGAGGAACCGCTTGTTTGATAATTAACCCAGCTGCTCTAATGGTAATTTGTTGTTAGGGCCAGATAGCTGACAAGGGTCTATTATATATCAAAGTAAACTGTATTGGGGCGCGAAGCTGTGAATGTATCTGTAGAGAGTTATTTATTAAATGCTTTTTGTTATCTTTATACCCTTGTGGCGATTCACTCTCTGTATTTTATGTGCGGTAAATATCGTGTTCAGGTTATCCAGGAAAACCATAAAGTTCTGGCATTGAACCTTGCCTTGAAGCTACCACTCCATGTGTGAATGTTGAGGAGAATTCTCATTCACATCTTTTAAAGTTTCTAGGCCGTAGATTCATGATAGTGTCGCTGAATATGCTCTGTGATGATATTTTTGGTGGCTGAGGGCTCTTTGGTAATTGACAATCTCGCGTGGTTGGCTTCGGCGACAGTGTACATTGCTATTCTCTTGTCAGCAATGCAGCTCGGACTGGCCACTGATGCTCTGCGGGACAATGCTGCCTTCCAGTCTGCATCGTACAGTTTTACCATTGCCACTATACAGTCCCCTCATTGGTGCTGGCCTTATTTTTGTTGCCTTTGACTATATATTTGTCAGTAACTGGGTGGCGACAGTGGTGTATGGGCGGAAACGATTACAGAACATAAAACCTCCATCGGGTGAGGCATGGATGATGTACTGTAGAACCAGAGATAGTGACGATCTTCAGTTGCTTGTATCGGGTCGAGATTTTTCGTAGCTTGAGATTTGATTGGACGACTTCGTCAGCCTCGACGTCCCTTCTTTGAGCACTACATCGACATAAAGAGGAAGCAAGAATACGGAGTAAATGCTTGGTGATGTTACATAAATTTGGGAGGATCAGCAAGCCATCCTCTTCCAATTGCTTCTCCCATCTTTGAGAATTTGGACAGATCGCCTGGATACAAATGGGTGAACTTCATGGAATATGCACCCAAAAAGGTAACAATTCTCTATAACTTCCACACAACAGGGTAAATTGCATAGTTCTCCATAATGATTGCTTGGGAACTGTTGTGCCTACAAAACTGGAGATAACACCTAGCTGCCCAGCCATTTATGCTCGTGACTCGCTCGATGACGGATCAAATGGAAATCATTGTTCGATAGGAGAGGAGGTATGACGTGAGATGATGCAGAGTCCGGCCATCCAGATAGGACAACAATTGATGAAGAATATATAGTATTGGTTTTTCTAGAGCTTGAATGAGTTTCTGGGTATGTCTTGGGTCTCTTTGGTCTTGTAACCGATGTCTAACTTGCGAGGCATTTTGAGGTGATAAGCCTGCTGACTGGGTTGAATCATAACGCTATCCTTGGCCTTTAGTCGAGGTAATCTACGACCAGTAAAGTATTAGTTGAAACTTTGAGAAAAGGCAACGCAGCGTCATTACTTTGTAAAAAGTAATTGATTTCCAGAAATGGGAGGCTGAGCAAGAGCAAGGTGATGCCAACGCAGAGGTCAGAGTGGAACAACGCAGAGATCATTGAGTGGACGCATGTAAGCTCCGGCTGTCGCTCACGCTAAGTGTATGAAAACTATCGTATCACCGAGTCATCAGACTCTGTTGGTACTCTTTCCCGGAACTTAATAAGAAAACTACCTCCAAGGCAAGGCAGGACGACTATAGTTATTCGATTTGCAGAGGGCAGATGCAAGGCTACATGCACCAATCGCCAAGGCCCACGAACCACACGCGCTCTGGCAGCCTAAAGCCTAGTCGGTGTGAAGTTCATGCATCTGAAGCATCGTCCCTAACTTTATTGCAGTCTGTTACCAATGGTGGATGAATATGGCGGCGGTGTGGCTTGCATATGACACCACACTCTAGGGAATCCTAGGGGGTCGGACAGGCCTCTCTGTTGCGCAGAGGGGCAGTTCATGGTTTAGACATAAGCGAAGGACTGCCAGGCTTGCTGCGCACACGCAAAGTAACGCCTACCTCTCTTATAATCTTCCATCTTACTGATACGAATACCTGCTGCTAGCTTTGCCCATGTCCTTGTCCTCATGGCGAGCCTGTGCGTTGACTGGAGCTCCTAGATGGGCCAGACATGTGCTGACAGCCTAAGAATTACAGAGTACAGAAAGAACCGCAAGAGCTGTGTCAATTATCGCCCAAACTCGCGTTCCTCCAGCTTACTGAGCCGTTATACGGGGAGAGTGGACCTTTGGCATTTCAGGACCTGTTGCGACGCTACCAAAAGCACTGGAAAGAACTACCAGAGGCAGCCAAGGATGGCAGCTCGTCAGACTGGGTGGTGACAGTTGATCATGTTCAGCAGAGAATAAAGTCGGTTATGCCCCATATGACCGACTTCATCTCATGGGAATCCCGGCATCCAGCCCTCCTGGAACCCAGGTCAGGCCGCGTCATATCTCACAAAAAGGTGCGGGAGTTCATAGAGAACTTTTATCTTACGCTCCCGGACTCAAATTGTGGGCGCCCGCGAGTGGCAGTCGTTCTTCCTAATGGACCTCTCCTGGCCCTGGCTTTGCTTGCAGTAGCGAACCGCTATACCGTTGTGCCGATGGCAACTACAGCAGCCCCTAAGGAACTAATGACTGACCTTGGCGCGGTCGGGGCAGATGTAGTTCTCATGCTTGAATCGGATACGAAACGGCTGCAGAAAAAGACGGAGTTACTCGTCTTCACAGTTCAACCCGAAGATGACTTGACTTTCAGTGTTACTTGCACAAACTGCTCCATTGAATCGTGTCGAGCCCAGCACGCTCCCAATGGTCCGGATGAACTCGCCATCATTTTGGCCACGAGTGGCAGCAGTGGTAACAAGAAGCTAGTTCCTATCACCATGTTCAATCTTCTTGCCAGTGCAACATTCGTGATGGACAGTCTGGAGTTGACTCCTGGATCTCGCTGTTTGAATATGATGCCACTCCATCATGTGTATGAGCCCCTTCGTTACTACACAGCGAATGCAAAGAGGTATGTACTGACATAGAAAGCGGCGGTATGATGCGAAGCTTGTGGGCCTCTCTTGTGGCAGGGGGCATGACGATCTGTTGCTCTCAATTTGATCCGAACCTCTTCTGGGATATGGTGGAAGAGCATCGCCCAACGTGGTACTACGCAGCACCAACAATGCATGAGATAATAGTAGCCGAAGCTGCGCAACGAGTTCAATCTGTTAGGAAAAGCACTATTAAATTTATATGCAACGGGGCAGCAGCACTGCCCTCGAATCTCGCTCAGCAGCTCCGAGACATATTTCAATGCACATTGTCACTCAGCTATGGAATGGCTGAATGTGTACCCATTACGGCACCACCTAAGGTCGGCCGCTTTAGTCGGCCAGGGAGCACCGGACTGGCCGCGGGGCCAGAGCTGGCAATTTTCAATACTCAGCACACGCAACAGCGTGCCCCTACTGGCTCGGTAGGTAGGATCTGTGTCCGAGGCCTACCTGTATTCCCAGGTTACCTCATCAAAGATGGACTGGATCGGAGCTCGTTCACTTCAGCAGGGTGGTTTGACACGGGTGATCTCGGATATGTTGACGAGAATGGGTGGCTCTATATCACCGGGCGGACGAAAGAAGTCATCAATCGCGGAGGGGAGACGATATCGCCGGTGGAGGTCGAGGATGCCATGGTATCAGCTTCCTGAGACCCGTCATCGAATATTTTTGGCCGTATCAGGGAGGCTCTGGCATTCCCTACTCCCCATGATGCCCTTCAAGAGGTTGTTGGTGTGGCGATTGTAACCCCAGCAGGTCGCATGAGGCCTGATCTTCGCCAAATTCACAAGGCTCTGAGGGAGCGTCTTCATCAGCCCAAATGGCCTGTTCTTTTGGTTTACATGGATGGCCTTCCTAAATCACGCAACAAGTTGCGACGCATCGGCCTAAGTCAAAGACTGGGTCTGGAGACATTGACAGATCAAGTTCCTACGGCTGAGCGGCACTACGAGGCACTGTGTCCGCCGGTGGATACACCTGTCAGCGTACCCGTCACTCGAAAACGATGCGAGGTCAATTTTCGCTTGGTGGAGGGATATATTGCGCAAGTTTCGGGACTGTCGGAGGTATTTTTGCAAGTCCACGCGGACGGATACCCCCGAGCCGTCATCTTCAGGGACGGGACTGGTGATGTCTTGCCGGAGGAGATCCTCGCCAGCCTCCCAGAGCTTCTGCACGGATACCTAATTCCCAGCAGATTGGACGTGCTAGATGGTCCTATGCCACGCAACACACATGGCTTGATTGACGAGGCTGCTGTGCAAGCCAAGCTGACTGCACTACATCCAACAGTCACGTCAAGCACGCAGCAGCAGGTATCTAATCTCTTCGCAACGGCACTCAGAGCTGCCCCGGAAGATATGACTCCCGCGACCGACTTTTTCGAGTCGGGTGGGGACAGTATGAGTGTGGGCCAGCTTATCTCCAAGATCCGGCAGGAGTTCCGGGTGCCTGTGGCAGGGGATGTTCTTTTTCAGCATAGTACTGTAGGCGCCATCACGGCCATCATCGAGGCAGCGATCGCTGATTCTGAGACACGTAAAGTTGAAAACCACGAGCTTCCAGGTTGTCGAGAGACATATAGCTCCACTCATCCATGGGTGTTATTCCTAAATCTTGTTCCATCTGTCATTCTTTACCCAATGCTTCAGGCGCTGCGCTGGTCATTCTTGGTTTATCTGCTCTCTGAAATATCGACACGGTTTCCGCTGCGTCCGAATCTCTTTGGACGGCTGCTTGGCCTCATCCTCATCCAACTGACTGTCCAGCTGTTGATGGCAATTATCTCCCCCCTAATAGGGATCGCACTAAAATGGCTCCTTGTTGGTCGATACCGCGCAGGAATGTATCCAATGTGGGGACCGTACCATATGCGGTGGTGGCTGGCACAGAAAGCGCTCCAAGTGTGTGGGAAGGTATGTACTGAATCGTGATCCTTCTCCGTCCACAGAGTAAGCTGACCAAGAGATACCAGGGTGTATTCGACCGTTATGGCAGGAGCCGAATCTGGTACTATCGAGCTTTGGCCGCAATGTCTTTATCGACGAATTCACGGCCCTTGGGGAGTACGATCTCCTTCACATCGGCGACGGTGTGGTGCTTGAGAATTGCATCTGCCGTCCATTTGCGAGTGAGCGCAATACTTCGATGCTGCTACAGCCCATCACCATTGGAGCCAACTCTTATGTGGGCCTCCGATCGACCGTGGTACCTGGGACCACGCTGCCCCCCAGCACGTGTGTCGGCGCCAACTCGTCCACCTGGGAAGTCGACGATGCGGACTAGTCCAATCGCGATCAATGTTTTGCCCGGGATATGCAGCCCCACTGGATCTGGCAGATTTTGGTCGTGGGGTGGCTGCAGCTTCTTGTACACCTCGTGTCGGAATTGCCGCGCATCGCAGGTTTGCTCCCAATCGTAAGTCGCTACCCGGCTGTCGCGGACGACCGTTTGCGACACACCGTGTCTTGGCTCACCAGCCGGACTCGGATCGGCTACTTCCTTCTCATGCGGCTCTACTCTGCTGTGGCGGGACCCCTTGCGTGGTTCCTGGCGGTGCTTGTAATCAAGCGCGGTTTGGACGCAGTTTGTGGTCGGCCGTCGCGAGGCCCTATGAACAGACTGCGTTCGGCTCAGAAGGTGAGACACGCGGCCCTATACGCCATCCTTCCGCAGGGGGACATCTCCCGCCTGGCGCAACTGGTAGGGCCGCACTACGAGCTGGTCTCTGTGGCGGTACGGCTGTTGGGCGGGAGCGTGGGGAAACGTGTATACTGGCCACGTACCGAGTTGAAACTGATCCCGGACTTTGACCTGGTGGACATCGGGCACGACGTAGTGTTTGGCTCCCGGTCGTGCCTGGTCACGATTGACGGGCTGGGCAGGGACCCCATTGTTATCAAGGATGGGGCCATGCTGGGGGACCGATGCGTGGTCCTTCCGGGGGTCACCATTGGGACGCGCACGATGGTTGGCTCAGGCGCATTGCTGCGGCGAAACGGCTCCTATCCGGACGACAGCGTCTGGACTGGCAGCAAGCATGGTGATGCCGTCCGCTTCCCTCAGCTCAGGGGGAAGGGAGATGGTACCAAGGATACTGAAGATGGGGAACACAACACGACAAGGCCGTTCGGGCGAGTCCTGTACTTGGGAAAGGCAAACTACCATGTACTGGGCCAGGGGCCTATCGTTGGGTACTCCAGCTTTATGGTTGCTTTCACCGCCGTGTACTCAATGGCTTCGCCGTTGGCAGCGTTGCTCGTGCTGAGTCGTCTGCTCCCAAGGGAACTGACGGCTTTTGAGATGCGATGGTGGCGTCCTTTTGCCGTGTATGGCGTATTAGCAGCAGTCATGGCGGCAGTGGCTTTAGTCCAAGGGATAGTGTCGTTGGCGATTGTTATCGCAAGCAAGTGGATGCTCCTCGGACGACGACAGGAGGGGTCCTACCCCTATGACCGCAGTAGCTATTGCCAGCGCTGGCAGATTCAGCGCACCATCGATATGCTCATTGAGCATTCCTTTGGCGGGACGGGCATCCGGTCGTTACTCAGCGGGACGGCGTACCTCAGCTGGTTCTACCGCGCGATGGGGGCGACGATCGGGGCAGATTGTGCGCTGAGCGCAAACGGTGAACCGCACATTTTTCTCACGGAGCCGGACCTGCTGACACTGGGGGATCGGGTCACAGTAGATGATGCCAGCCTGGTGTGCCATCTCAACACGCGTGGGGATTTTGAGCTGCATCCGCTTCGAGTGGGCGATCGGAGTGTGATGCGCACCGGGTCTCGATTGTTGTCGGGGGCGTCGATGGGGAAGGATGCGTGTTTGTTAGAGCATACGCTCGTGCTGTCGGGGGATCATGTTGAGGATGGAACGGCGTTGCAGGGCTGGCCGGCGGAGGAATTTAGGGGGGATCGACTACGACCGTAGACTATATGCCGATTGTGCGGTGAGGAGGATATATATTACTTGCAAGCTGGTGGGATCTGGGTTGGAGGTAAATTGAAAACTCTAAGTATTTCTAGCGACCATCTACAAATCACCTCCTTGAAACCGGCGGCTCGTAATAAGTCGTTAGGGCGTACACAATCAGAACTCTGGTGGACTGGACAGTCCTGCATTACAAGTTTCTTTCCTTAGATGGCTGTCACCCGCCCAAGCTCTCACAGATGCAGAGCTGCAGTTCAAATCATTCCTTCGTCCATAACACGACATCATACCTCCAAATCATTCATGGAATCTGACCAACCCTTTGCCCTGAGATATATTTATTTCAGCCTTCACGCCCTAACAACAACCACACCGAGTTAAGATAGAGATGAAATGTCCATCTCAAAACATCCAGCCCGGCAGAATACGCTGCAACACACTACCTGCAGCAGCATCGGGGTGCGACAGATGGCCCAGCGGATGATCTGCGCACTTGCGCACATCCGCGGGGGTGACGCCTTCTGGGAGATCGGCTGGGTCGATTTTCATTACTCCGAGGGAGCCGCACTCTTCTTCGGCACTGATATCGGTGGATAGGGCGGTCGTGGCATAGATGGTGAGGAGGAGGTAGGTGAGGAGTTTCATTTTGAGTGCTTTTCTTCGAGGATGGTGGGATGAATTAGGAGGTATAGGGTTTGCGAGGGTGGAGGCAGGATAGGAGCTGGTGAAAAGATTGGGAGAAGATATAAGTTGTATTGTTTGGGTTTTCTCAGCTAGTAGTGGCGTTAGGGTGAGGAGTTGCTTGTTGATTTATAAACTGGAGTTGCCAACAGAAGACGTGGCCGGATTGGCCTTGTCCGTTTCCTGTTGTCTGTACTACATGTTTCTTTGCTCTATGGGCTATAGTAGATGCCTAGACTTGGTGGTCCGAGTGAACGGAAAATGCCAGTGACTCATCGAAAGTACCATGGTTGATTTGGTAGGTTTTAGCTTGGAGCTCCTTATCTACAGGGGTATGATTCCTGTGAATAAGTGAAACCAACACTTGGTGAGATTTGATTAGTTTATGAATGTCTACTTAGTAACTCCTGGCAGAGTCTGTACCATAAGATTATACTGTGACAATGATAAAACTAGGATAAATCTGGCCAACTTGCAAGTGGCTGATTGAGATCAACAATATGAAAGCTGAGGATTCGAGCAACTCCCAGCGATGAACGTTTGCGACATCCGCGGAAGATCGGATTCGAAGATCTGTGCTGATGGTTCTAGGATACGGTCGATGACGTGCACCACGCCCTATAATGTCAATAATTATTAGAAGATTATTGTTCGATGGTCTTGTAAGGAAGCAATGAATGCGCGTACACTGGTAACCGGGATATCCGATTCAACTACTCTTGCCACTTGATTGAGAACAACCGTTCCATCTTGTACTTGCGAGCTCACGAAGAGGTAGGTGGCAGTCTAATCTTGATATCAGCTATCTGCATTTTATCTGGATGGGTATGTGTATGTTCACCTGAAATCGCTGCAGAGTCTCATTGAAACTAGCTGATGTGAGCTCGGAGTTAGGCACATAGTGGTGGATGATGGTGTTTCCTAGCCACCATTTCCCTTTTCTAGGCGGATTTAGCGACAGCAACCCAAGTACAATAAGTCTGATCAGACATACGGAGTCGGCTCGAAGCTATCAAAGTATGCCCCGGTATATACTTCGAATGCATCGTTATTCCGCGCAAAGAATGTAAATTTCCAATCTGGATCTGTGTCAAATGCCTGTGCAAATCCGCCAAGTTCATCGATCTTCTCAGATAGGATGCTCAAGTCGGACCGAGATTTGATGAAATCTAGAGCGGTCGTCACATTTAAGGAGCTGGAGGCTACATAGCCGGGGATGTTTCGGTAGTTCAGAGGGTCTGTTTTGGCCGTTACTAGACTGCTCAAAGATAGGAGGGCTAATGCTGGGAAAGGTGGGAACTTCATGTTGGGACTGCCGAGATGTTGCTAAAACAGCTTCAATATACGATGTATGGTAAGTTGGAAGAAAAGGGTTCATGATTAACAACTCGGGCAACTTGTTCAGGGTTACTAGTAGTAGTCGTTTGGCCGCTAGATCTCCCGGAGCATCTCCGCAACCCCATCCACCAAAACCAACCAATGAGAATATATCACTCGGCTGATAGGTGCAGCTCTAATAGCTGGTAACTCTATTCTAGCTATCCCCTTTACTACGTCGGGGAACGCGGACAATTACCGGAGGTTCCATAGTTAGCCACTGAGGGAGAAACAAACCTGTTACAAATAAAACTTTCAAAATTGCTCCTGGAACGACTCCTCGATTACCTCAACACACAACTCGTCCAGTATATTCAGCAGCAAGATGGGACGCAATTATAGACTCTTCTCATCCCGATTGGCCATCGTGGCGATTTTAACCTTCGTCCACTCCGTACTGGGCGGCACTAGCCTGGCGCAAAAACCTCAGATGGGCTGGAACTCATGGAACGCATTCAAAGCGACGGTAAACTATACGATAGTCCAGGATTTTATGGAGCGCTTCGATACCCTTGGGCTAAAAGAAGCAGGCTACGAATACGTGCTGCTTGATGACGGATGGGTAAGCTACAATCGCACATCCAAAGGGTATCTTCAAGCCAATGCAACGTCTTTCCCTAAGGGCATTGAAGCACTGGCCGAGGAGGTACATGCTAAGGGCCTAAAATTAGGCCTTTACGGAGACAGTGGACACTACACATGTGCGTGGAGACCAGGAAGCTGGGGATATGAAGAAAGAGATGCCCAAACGTTCGCAGATTGGGGCGTGGACTATCTCAAGTACGACAACTGTGGCGGATTCCAGTCGATGACGGAGGCCCCTCAGATCCGCTTTGGGGCAATGAAGAATGCGCTCGCACTTTCAGGCCGGGATATCTTCTATTCTGTGTGTGGTTGGGGCTATCAGTTCCCTTGGCACTGGGGAGGAGGTGAGATACATCCCACAAACAAACCGATCTTCCATTTTGAGATACTCATTGCGACTGTCCATAGATATCGGTCACTCTTACAGAATGTCTGGCGATATCACGACAAGCTTTACCAATGAAACCGAGTGCCAGTGCAAGACAGCCTACTGTCTTAACACTGGATATGCCGATTGCTCTGTCCTGACGATCATCAATAAGATGAAAGAAATCAGCCAATATCAGACTCAGGGTCACTGGTTAGATATGGATATGCTCGAAGTCGGAAATGCCAATTTCACACTCAACCAGCAACAGACACAGTTTGCGTTCTGGGCGGCGCTAAAATCACCCTTGATCATTGGGGCTGATCTTAGCAAACTTTCCAATGATAGCTTAGCCGTGCTCACTAATGAGGCAATCATTTCCGTCAATCAAGACGCTCTTGGAGAGCCTGTGACGTATAGAGAGGCTCATAATAAGGAAGGCCTCTTTCAGGTATGGGCTGGAAATGTCGAGGGGGGATATGTTGTGCTTCTTTTGAACGAGAAGAGTTATTCTCAGACTGCGTCTCTGAGCTTTGCGAGTCTTGGGCTTGGCTCGCCTCAAAAGGTCGTTGAACTTTGGTCGGGGAAGACTTTGCAGAATGCCAATACATTCAATGGAACTTTGGGGTCCTATCAAACTCTTGTGTTTAGAGTGCAAACATGACAATTTGAAGGAAGGTGTGGCTCTTATTCTCAATGTTTCAACTTCATCATCACTATTCTCACTACCTACCCTGTAGTACCCCTTTATGTAAACATTTGTGATTTGTATCAACTGGACTTGTTTGTGCTTAACGTTTGCTAGAAGGGCATATTATCAGGGGGTGGACGGGACGTCACCGGATGTAGCACTCGGGTTGGAAGACTTAGTTTGATGGCATGATTGAAGATTAAGGGGGACTTATTATGCATTCACTACGGGTGTTCCTTCTGCCGAATGCATCTCGGTAGGGTGATGTGGAGGATATACTTGTGCTACTGATCCATGACTGTGTGGGGGCATGCTCCACCTATGGTGCCGGAGTTGGGAGGTTCAGTAGGTCCAGAGCCGGTCACTCTGCAAAAGAGCGATTGAAATATCTGTAGGAATCAGCAACGCCGAAAGACGGCACATGCAAGGCACAAAGCCGATAGAACACGTACTCATGGTGTATGTCACCACTAAGCTAGATGTGATTGTAAGGAAAAAGAAAGATAGGCCGTTAGGGATCCCTACCGGCATATACCAAGCTTCGTCCGTGTTAGTTAGCGCGTGATACGCCAGCAAATACGTCAAGTTATGAGTGACGGATGTGAAGACGAACGATCTCATGCTCCTGCAATCTCGGCTCCTAGTGGTAAGAGTTCATTCCACAGCCCTCGTGTCGAGTGCGTTGCATGTTGATAACTTAGTGGTCCAAGCTTCTTTGGCTCGACCCTTAAAACATCCAGTTGATGCTAAATCTTGAAATCTGCTTTTGTCTCTGAGAGGTGGACTGATTGTGGGTTGACAGGTTGCGCGGCCTGGTGGATCCCGTGCACGAGGGTTCGCAAACTCACTCTCTTTTCGTTCGCCCCACTTGGCTGTTCTCTGCCTCTACAGAGTATTCTACATAGGATAGTCTAGGGTGCATTGTAGGATTTTTCCTGACGCACTCGCACACGCGGAAAGGGTTTTTAGTGCCACCTGCACATACGTAAGTTACCCGCCGATCCTTCCCTGAAGACATGGACCCTGTATATTAACTGCAGGTGGGTCTGTCTTCCACTCCGCACGAAATACATTTTTTATGTCCTATACACAACAGTAGAACCAAACGCTGGAACTCGGGGAGAACGAACATGCTAGTTTAGTAAATATCGGGTGTTACTAGAAATCCTGTGAGTGAGTTAGTGAAGGTGGGAGACCAAACCGGTTGTCCTGTACGATTAGGGCCAGCGCGCCCCAACTCCTAAGACTTGACAGTAGCAACGAACCACTACCTACAGTTGAAAGCGGGAGTTCCTGATCAGTTATCTATCCGAACATGTCGATCCCTTTCCTAATTCCAACTTCTAATATAGCAAATCGAACATTTTGCTAAAGCATTTTAGGAAATTTCCGGTGTCGGACACTCACCGGCAATTACCCCGCCCGCCGACAGGAGGTTGATTGGTGCAGCGCAGGTCTCCATGTCAACTAAGCTCAACGGCAAGGAGGATGTTCCAGGAGTGGCATGACGAGTGCAAATTGCGGGGAAAAGAAGGAATTCCCCATGGGGGCGTTCGTCTTTGAGAATGTGTAGTTCTGTATGTCAGACGTCCCTGTCTTCCTGGAAAAAACATCCCTATCGTGAACCTCAATAATTCCAGCCCTGTCTACCCGATGACCGCAAAATCTCAACCCGCGACAACCAACACCAGCGCAGGAGACTTGCCGGAGACAACTACCAAAGGAGAGGAGGAAATTCCAGCCTGCCAGTTTTGTCGCAAGAAAAAAGCCAAATGCAATCGAGCGCAGCCCTGTTCGCAATGTATGCGATCGGATGTCGTTTGCGTCTACGATGATCGACGAACTAAGCCCGGTCTCCGAGCTGGGGCGGTCGACCAGCTATATCGCCGCGTCGAGACGCTCGAGAATATGTTTTTGGGCCAGGAGATGCTCTGGCAGCAGATGTGGCAGTCTTTATTTCCGAACACTGAGCCCCCGCGATCCCTGGCCAAGGGGACCACGGCAGCCACGACCCTGGCGGAGCGTCGGGAGCAGCTGAAGTCTTCAGTGCTAGACTCTGCGAAGTTGGCGACAAAAATATCGAGCACAGAAGCAAATACAGACGATTCTGCGCCACCAGAATGTGCTCCTCCCCAAGCCAAACGCACCCGCGTGGAAAATGAGCTGGTTTACCATGCGGTTGCTCTAAAATCCGAGTCTCGCGTGGCCAGCCCCTTACCTGATGCCGTCTTGACTGAACTCGTCGATTTTTACTTCACCAATATACATCCGTGGATACCCATACTACACGTCAAGAAATTTCGCGAGCGGATGCGGTCGCCGGAAGAACGAGTTCACATCAATTGCATCTTACATGCCATTGTCTCTGTCTGTGCCCGCTTCTCACGGAACAAACAGTATGGCGATACGTTGGATATGAAAGAGATCGCCAAGAAAAGTCGACAAGAGGTAATCTTGCAGAGCACCGAAACCTTCTCGGTCGAGAATCTACAGGCGCTGGTTATTGTCGCATTTGAAACAGTGAGCTTGAGGCCCACGCTATGTCTCTAGGGAGAAGTAGACTGATTTACTTTCGAACAGATAAATCGCGGCCGCGGACCCTCGTCATGGTCTATTATTGGCAGCATGGCAGGAACTGTAGAGCAACTTCAACTTGGAGTAGAAGAAGATGACCTATATCACGTCAAGGGTATGGGGGAAAGACTAATCAGGCGCATGGTTTTTCTTACACCATCTCGGTCGTGGAGTGAAGCGGAGGAGCGGCGACGTGTGTTCTGGGCCGTCTTTCTCATGGACCGCTTCTGCAGCGTCTCTACAGGCTGGAAGATTAGTCTGAGAAATGCGGATGTGAAGCGCCGTCTTCCATGTGAAGGCGCTCTATGGGAGAAGGAGCAGGAACTCTGCACCCCATATTTTGGAATCTCTGATATCAAGAACACTCCCATTCCTAGCAGTCACTCGACTACCATGGATGGTGGTGAAGAGCAGGCCATCGGCGCATTTGCGTACATCATTGAGGCTACTGAGTCTCTAGCCTTAGTGACAAACTTCTATCTTCACCACGCCTTCTTAATCAACGATGCCAGCAAAGCACGATTATGGCTAGTCAAATTCAAGGAACTAGATCTGCGACTGATTCAGTGAGTATCATCCCCTTTCTATTCTCTGCTATGATGCTGATGCGCGCAGATGGAAAATCCACTTACCTCCTAAATGGCGCGAAGCCTGCGTCCTAAACGAACAGAGGGTCATGGATCCAAATCTGACTCTAGCACACATAACCCACAACACGGCGGTAATTCTGCTACATCAAGGCATTGCTTATCCACCAGCACACTGGCAGAAGTGTCCCATTAGACTTCCATCGGCATCCTCCGCCGATACATGCTTAGAAGCAGCTTCAGAGATAGCAACTATTGCTGATCAATTTTTGTCCTTTTCTCCCATTTTCACGAACCCCCAGTTTTCTTTTTGTCTATTCATCGCCGGCCGCACACTCCTTGCACACGCTAGGCACAATAGGGTGCCGCCATCCCCAGCTCTCAACACCTTGATTGCAAACCTGATGGAGATCTCACAGCGATGGACAAGACAGCATGACGGCAGTCAAGCCCACCAGGAGGACAGCCTAGCATTCAAATTCGCAACTAGACTGATCGAAGCCCAGCAGAACCGAGCCTGTGTATCTCGTCCGAGCCTGGATATTCGCACGACCGCCTATTCAGACGAGTCTAAAGAGGAGATGTACAAGGATCTCGTGGGAACAAACTCGGATGATCCACCAGAGTATGAGTCGCTTGGTGGACCATTGCAGCTGGCCCCGTTCCCTTCGCAGCAGGCTACTGGCTGCTCATTCGACCCATTCAGCCTAGCCTTCCCACCGCTGCCACCGGCCTTTCAGCATGATTTCTCGCCGACTGGTTTAGATCCATTCTCTTTTTATAATATGCAACTGCCATCAGATCCTAGTATCTCTTCTCCGCTTGATACCCGCAGTCACGAGTCAGGTTCCAGGCATGATTCGGAGAGTTCCATGGCTAGTCTCATGCCGACAGATATATCGCACCTCTTCGATGTGACATCTAGCCCAGGACAGCGGATTAGTTATTACGGCAATACGCGGGGCCTAACCAAGGACTCGGCGACCGACGGAATTGAGAACTAGACCAGTAACAAAACTGCGCGATTGATCGTTTTGCGCTTTCACGTCGAACCTTTAGATTCTAAGTCTACATTCCCACCCAAATGGTGAGTTGATGCTTGTACCATGCTACCTTTTCTTAAAATCATCAACCAAGTCCATCTCAAGAAGCATGGTTCCAAACAGCAAGAAGTAATAATCAGCATATACAAGCCCGTGATTCGACCACCTCCGAGGAGCAAACTCATAATTATTGATCGTCGCGCCCGTCAAGATAGTTTCAGATGCGTTTGCGTCCCCGACCACCTTCAGTGCTTCGAAGCCTTTGCAAGCGTCAGTCTGATGGGCCGAACACTGGTCAGCGTAGACGGGCACCTCTAACGAAGGGCCAGCCTCGAAACGCATAGGGGGATTTAGATACCCTCCGACCGTACAATCAACCAGCTTCATCGCGGCCCGAAGGTAGTGATTAGCTGCGTCAGTGTCCTGCAACTTCTTATATACCTTATGAAGCAACAGCATTCCACAAGCGGCGATCATAGCAGCAGAAGTATCCCGTGGTGAGGTGTCAGTAACAGGCGCATCGAAATCCCAAGACGGGACCCCATCGTCCGGCAATCTCGCAAGAAATACATCGGCCAGCGCTCTAGCAGTGCGAAGGAATTCCGTCTCCTGTGTCCACCCGAAGGTCTGCACAAACCCCAGAATCCCCCATGCCTGGCCCCTTGCCCAGCAGCTACTATCACTGTATCCCTGGTTCGTGAACTTCGACTTGACTGCTCCGGTTTTGGGATCCAAATTTACCACGTGGAAGGTCGTACAGTCATCTCGGATGTGATGCTGCTGCGTGGTGATCGCATGCGCCCTGGCTATGTCATATAGCCTTGGACAATCTGTTTCTCTCGCCACCCAGAACAACATATCCAGATTCAGCATGTTATCGATAATAAATAGGAAGTCCTGCGTCGGGTCTTTGTATGCATAGCGCTTCGTGACACACTGATCCCAGCTGCGGATACACTGGGTTGATTCGCTGAAGCGGCTAGCAAGGGAGTGGGCTGCTAGTACGAGGGAGTTGTATGCTGCTGGGTCTCGATGAAGTGTCCATGCCTTCATCGCCCAGGGGGTGATCATGAAGCCTAGGTCATGGGTATCCTTACGGAGGGCATTTTGGTGCAGGTTGGCTGTCCACCAGCGGCAGAGGTGCTCGTGTTGGAGAGAATGGGGGCGGAGAACGGACTCGCTGTTTGCTTGCGTGGAATGGGGAGCAGGATGCCGGTCGCGGAAGAGAGTGCTTCGCTCTAGAAGAAGGTATAGAGAGCCTGGGAAGAATCCGGATGTCCAGAAGTCGAGGGTTCGGTAGATGTATGTAGCTTTGTCTTCGCCAGTGTATTCGGGGTATAGAGTTGGAGGGTTTGTCTGTTTTTGTTAATATCATTTTCGGGCTTACTGCCAGGTATTATAATGGCTCAAGAAATTGTATCACTCACACTACCCATCGCCTTGGATGCGACGAACCAGACCTTTGCTAGGACGGATTCTGAATAGAGGGCTTCGAGTACTCGCGTCCATTGCTTGGATGGGAGTACTTCGGAGCCGGAGCCGTTGACGGTCGCTGGGGGTCCTGCTTCGATAGACATTGTTCTTAGTTTGTCTAAGGACCGATGCAGGGTTAGGAGAAATTATTCGGATACTGAATACGCAATAAGAGACTTGTTAAGATCTCCTTGTTCTTCTCTACAAGAATTGGTTCTCCATTTGTGGAAGTATGCATTCGCAATCGGAAAAGGGTCCGGGAATTCTTCCGCGCAAGAAGTCCATGCCAGAATTCCGTGGATAGGCATTTCGGGCGATCTCCCGGAGTCCCTCCGACGAGCCTACGAGACACCTGTTACAGCTAAGCCTTCCCCACCATGCAAGCTCTTTCTCACACTGAGTCCGGGGGATACAAATCCATACATTGATAACCTTCTCTGAAGTTCAATCTGCCTAACTCCACAACCCCACAATCCCCAGATTCCACAATGGCATCCAAAACCTCCGATATAGACACCACAACAGCCGATCACCTCGAATCGACCGAGAAGAAGGACCCCTATGCAGCAGACCCAGGCATTGAGATCAACGAGGCGACAGATAAACGACTATTCTGGATGATCACTCGTCGTATTTTAGTTATTCAGATCGTGACCTATTTCTTCCAGTCACTTGACAAGGGCATTTTGAATTATGCCTCTATCATGGGTATTAAGGACGATGCACATCTGGTCGGACAAGAGGTACACACCAACCATTATTAGCTCACAATTTATATTTGATGTTGATTTAATATTCATTTAGTATTCCCTACTGGGCATGATTCTGTATATCGGCATTCTTGTGGGCGAATATCCCCAGAATCTACTGTTGCAGAAGTTTCCAGTTGCCAAGATGCTCTCTGTCAATGTATTTATTTGGGGTGCGATCGTGGCATGCTCGGCTGCATCTACACGATTTGGGTCGTTGATGGCGGTCCGGTTTCTGTTGGGGTTCTTTGAGAGCTGTATTCAGCCTGCGATGATGCTCATGTGTGTATTTCCCGGTGTTGCATCGAGAGATGTCTTGCTGACATTGATATTAGAACAGCTATGTGGTTTAAGCGAGAAGAGCAGTCGGTGTTGAACTCAATCTGGTACTGCATGACTGGAGTACAATTGATGGTATGTCATTATTCCTCTCGCTCTGCCATTGAAGATGCAGCTCAGTTATTCACCCAAAAAAGATCGGGGGCCTACTCGCCTTCGGCACCTCCCAGTACGTAGGGGGAGTGATAAAGAACTGGCAATTGCTCTTCCTCGCTCTTGGATGTGCTACATGCGTGTGGTCGTTTTTTATTGGCTTCTTCCTACCGGACAGCCCCCTATCAGCTAAGTGCTACAGCGAGGAAGACAAAAAGCTGATGGTAGAGCGCGTACGACACAACGAGACCGGAATCGAGAACCGATAATTTAAGAGATATCAAGTCATCGAAACGATTCATGATCCTATCGTCTGGTGCTGCGTGATGCTCATTCTCGTTTCCAACTTGGCCATCGGTGGCCTAGGCGTCTTCTCTAACCTGATCATCGAGCAGTTCGGCTTCTCTCTGCTTCAGACCGAGCTGCTCAATATAGCCCAGGGCTCATGGACCATTATCGTGATGGTCGGATCAGCATGGTGCTCACAGCGCTTCCAACAGACGTGTTTAACCATGATTGTGAGCTTTTCCCCAACCTACTCTCTCACACCAAAATCTAACCAGATACCAGCTCTGGACCATCCCAGCCATCGTCAGAACCATTGTCATCCTCGTCGTAACACCCACAGCATCCAACGCCGGCGGCATGCTCATCGCCTTCTACTGCACGCAGTTCTTCCTCGCCGAGGGCAACATGATCATCTCCCTGATTACCCGCAACACAGCCGGTCAGACTAAGAAAAGTCTCACCATGACATTCCTTTTTGTTGGTTGGGCGGTGGGAAATCTCATCGCGCCGCAGATCTTTCAGAGTTCTGACGCTCCGCGATACTTGCACGGCTTTCTGGCGCATATTGTGATTTATGCTGTGTTTATTGCCCTGACAGCCCTGACAAGGGTGATCTTGATGAGAAGGAATAAGGCGAAGGAGGATGAAAGCAGTGATGTCTCGCATGAGTTGGCGTTTCAGGATTTGACGGATAGGGAGAATCCGAATTTTCGGTATGTTTATTAGGTCGCGGTTCAATTGTTGTGGATATGGGAATATATAGTCAGCTAGTAGCTAGTTAGTGATGTACGGATCTGGAATATGTCACAACAACTGCATTATTATAAAGCTCATAAAAATAATCCCAGACCTGAGTGCCGAATCTAACCGACGTTCTTGAGTACTATCATTACTATAGTAAACAAAATGATCTCGGTCTTATTCAAAGTCCATATAGAGCGTCTATGGAACAGAGCTACGCCATTTAGTAACCACTTATTTGTAAGTAATCTCATTGTTTAGATACATGCATGCTGAGCAAATACATTCATCGAGATTTCTACTTCTCTGCAACCGCAAAAAGCATATCCGCCCAACTGAACGGATCAACCGGCGATGCCTGACCCTTCACAGAAGCATCATAAACATCCTTCACGCGCAAAGTCCAAGGCACATCAATCTCCCTCTCCAAAGCTTCATAATAGAGTAGTCCCCAAGCAGCCGGATTCGTCTTTCCGTCCTGATATCCAATATACCGATTCACCGCAGAGATGTTCGCCCAAGGACCATCCACCAAAACCACCTCACATCGATAAAAGCTCGCATCATATGGCACCGTATGATTCATGAGATATTTCCCTGCATACTCTGCCGCGGTGAATATAAGATTATTCTCCAAAGCAAACAAGTCATAATCCTGGTTAGCCACGACCCTCGCAGCAAGTGCCGTCCATTGCAGCGCATCCTGTACATGGGACTGATCGCGACCCGCTTCGGAGTTCTGGCCTGTAGAAGCTAGATAATTATAAGGCACTCCGGCACAGCGATCATGTTTGTATGCGTATAAGGCATAGTTGTATAGAGCCACGTCGTCCAAGTAGACGGCAAAATTGAGCAAGCCCATGATACTAGCCATGCCGTAATTTGCTTGTCCGATGATGATACTCTGCCGGGCGAAAAGCCAGTAGAGCTGGACGCTAAAGCCCGAGCCACCTTTGTATGTCGCGCCTTGCTCGACCCAGCCGCCTTCCCAGCGCATGATCTCGGCTGCGTTGGCGAAGATGGAGCCTTCGATGCCGATAAGGAGAGATCGGTCTGTCCCGATTATGTTCTCGAGATCGGAGCCCCAGGCGTCGAGGATAGTGGTGGAGCGGTTCCAGTGGCTTTGGCTGCGGGTGATGTACCCTGTATCAATCCAAGGTATTAGCCCTCGAAAGGGCCTTTGGGGTTGTGTACTTACACATAATAGCATTCTGATATGCGGCGCGAGAATCATCGTGGAAACTAGTATAGTTGCTTATTTGCCCGCGACTGATCACAGGATACGGGCCTTGCATTTCATAGGAGGCGTTAGAGTAGGGATCTTGAGCGAATCGGGTGTATTCAGATGCCCATGGCTCGACACCGTTGAGGACATTTGTTCGCATGAGCTCGAGTTGATCATGGCTATGCCAAAGGCCTGGATGTTGGAATTGGTTTGTTCTGTTCTTTGAGCCGGGTGTGTCGGGGACCATCATTACGGGCCCTGGTGTGGATAAGCATGTTAGTGGGGATGTCAAAGGTTAACGTCTAGCTCGTACCGTTTAGACTGGGGACATCTTGAATCAGCGCCTGGGCGTGATTAGCGGTAGCCACCGCAAGGCATAGCTTGAGAATATGCATGGTCGGATTGCCTGATAGAAGTAAAATTGGAGTCTTAGTGGTGGCATGTTGTTCATATTATTACTAGCTTTCATCTTATGACCAAAGATTAGATTAGACCTCGGGCTAAATGCCGGACAGGGACCGATCCATTAACTAAGCTAAGGAATGGAGTCAATATCCATGCGGGGAACAGCCGGAAAATGCGCCGGTGTGCATAACTTAAGTGGCATACGCGTTCTTCCCGAGAAGACGGGAAGGAGGTGGATCTGGTGGGGAGCAGGAAGAACGGCTGCTTCATTTGCCGATGCCCCTGAAGAACAAGCACAAAACAACCCTACTTTAATATAGATATCAAACTCAATTGATTCAGGGTAGTAAACATATAAAGTAGCTTGCATCACCACCACATCCTGACCCCTCAACATCATCCCAAGCTTCACAGCACTTCAACATGATGTCCATTCTTTCCCTCCTCTCCCTCCCTCTCTTCCACCACCTCGCCCACGCAGGCACTATCTACCACAGCAACTTCACCTCCGGACTATCCCCCTTCTCCGCCTGCAATGTAGAATCCCCATCCTACTCTACTGCCACAGACGGCAACCTCACCGTCTACTTCGACGAGTCCTACTACGACGGCACGCGCGACCGCAAAGGTGCCGAGATCTGCGTCTTTGAGAACGACACCACCACCAATGTGGCCCAAATGACCAAGGAAGGCTGGCAGGGTTTCTCCATCTACGTGCCCTCTGATACCTACCCGACGGACAAGAGCGCCATCATTGCGCAGCAGTTCTGCCCCGGCGGGTGCTCCTCGTGGTGTGGCACCGTCGAGATCGTGAATAATACTCTGCAGACTACGCACCGCGCGGCTTGTTCTACTGGCACTACAGCAACTATTGTGGATGGTATTGAGAGAGATGCTTGGCATAGTGTCGTGGTGCATATGCGCGTGTCGGAGGAGAGTGATGGCGCTTATGAGGTTTGGTGGGATGGGGAGCAGGTTTACAGTGTGTCGGATATTGATGTGGGTTTTGGGGCTTGGGACGATGATGATGCGTTGACTACTGGGTGGTACTTCAAGAATGGGGAGTATTGTTTTGGTGAGTTTGTCGATGGTTTGAATTAGGGTTGTGGTCGTTACTCTTGCTAACTGGATTTTCTAGATACCGACGCCTACACTGATGCGACTAGAACACTGTACTTTGATAATATCACCTGGTATGAGACTGATGATGGCAGTGATGATGGGTATGAGACGGTGTATCCTTGATTGTGATTCATCTGGAGGAACGTGTATAATGTAGCTGTGTGGTTTGCGCTGGCGATGAATGGGTATTTGAGATAAAGCTGTATTATTGAACTGCTATAATAATGAGAAAGTATTCTCTTAACTGTACTGAAGCAGAATCTATTTACCACTTGTGCTCTGTTACGGCATTGGCCAAGCAAGATGCTTCATCGGGTGGAAAAGTGGAGCCCAGCGCACTGACATCGATCTTCATACGCGTAGCCACCTTGTGGCATCTGCAATATCTTGTCCTCTTCCCATTTGGGAATCTGTGCCCTATAGCCTCTGGCCTTGCTAATTACTTCTACTAAACCAACTTCGAGAGTACGATGAGTGAGACATAATTTTCGCTTATCATAAACGCCCCGCACTACGGCGTTGGCGAAGAAGAATTAGGTGAGATCCCTGCACTTTTCATGGTTTGCATCTGAGACATTTTAGCCTGTACCGAGAGTGGCGATTTATATTAGATTCTTATGTCCCATGTCCGCGCATACTTTTGCAATGTGTTTTTATTTTCTTTTAATGAGCAAACATGTCATCTGTTAGCGCTGCTCTCATACGCCGAGGCATCGAAGTGATATCCGCTCGGCTTCAACCCGGTCAAGACCCTCTGGTGAAAGAATGGATAGGCATCTTTCTCATCTTCTTCACTGTTTTCGCTTTCCTCCTTGCAACTTCCTGGGAGAGTCAAAAGTAATACCAGAATAGACAAGTATTATACTCATAAAAGAGAACAGGTCGCCTACACCTCCCAAGTCATCGGAGCCCTAGCTGCAATCGAAGACCCTAACTCCAACCCACCCCCCTACATCCGCCTCGACAACAATGATCCCGAACTCACCACCACCCCAATTCCGAAACCAATAACCAGCGACCTCCGCACATCCATCAACTACCTCTTCAGCCTCGGCGGCGGCGGTATTTTCTCCACCTTCCGCGGATTCCGCATGTATCTCGCCTTCATCTCGCTAGATATGGTCTTAGCCCTCTTAATACCCGCCTTCATCCCCATTCCCATCCAAATGACCCTCGCCTCGTTTCTAGCCAATTTCATGGGCAGGATGTTCCGCGCTACATGGCAAATGGCATGGGTGCATGTAGTCATCGCAGATAAATCGCCTTTCGTCGGCTATCGACGCATGCTAGGTTACCAGCATTGGAAACGGATTGCTCCTGCTGCCGTACTGCATCGTGTCGTCATGTCTATGACTTCCTCGCTGAATTTGGCTGTCTCCAGGGCTGTTGGGTGGGTTATTTTGGGTATACTTGGTGAGAAGGGATCGAGTGGTGGAAAAGGAGAAGGGGGACTTGGTGTTGTTTTCTGGTTTATGTTCTTTTTCTTACTCACTGTGCCTGTTAATGCGATATTCACTCGTGTGGCGGCTTCGATGTTGCCTGAGGGGCTTGATCCCATTGTGCCGTTTGATCGGCGGTTTGGTGGTAAGGTGAAGATGGGGGGTGGTGATGCGAGATTGGGTATTGTAGATGCGTGGAGGACGTTTGAGGATTCTGCGAGGGTTCGATACTTTAAGATTGTTTTTCAGGCGGTTGCTATTGAGATTGTGTTGGGTGTGGTTGGGGGGGTTGCTGGTTTTTGGGGAGTTGAAGTGGTTGCTTTACTCTCACTGAATACGTCCCCGTTGACTTAACTCTTGCGCTGATGGCATTCATACATGGGCAAAAGACTTCCGGACTTAATGCCCGATAATCTTTTGGGTGTCAATGAGATGTCGCCTTTCTGTAGCCTCGTCTGGAAGTATCGAAGGACAAAACTATGGTGATCGGAAACGTACATCACAATTTATCTGGATATTTGCAACACAGACTGTCTCAAAACTTCATAAGAGTGGCTACGCTTTCCAATCTAGAGAAAGCATGCAAAATGATAGTAACAATTGTTCTAAGTACAGTCATTTATCAAAAAGACAAAGCCAACGAGCAGTTGGGACTCAAATTATAACACCTTTGTCGAAATACGTCGATATTGTGTCCAGATCCCTCTTAGAAAGTTTCAGGATATTGTCTTCACGGTACATCCGTTCCACGTATCTGGCTTCTTCAATACCAAGGGTGCCATTCTTATATTGCTGCCACATTGCCGTTTGTAGCTCAACAAGCGTGGCCTTCCCGACCGCCCTCGTTTTCTTCATATCCAAAGAGTCCTTTGCACCGTCTTCATCGAATATAAGCCTCTTCTTTCCAAATGCATCCGTCAGCGAGCACCCTGCATCAATCATAATTCCGGGCCTCTTTCTCAGCCAGGTTTCGCTCTTGAAACATTCAATTGCATCCACAATTACCCCATCCCCAATATCTGACACAACAGAGGCTCCTGCCGCAAGCAGAGCCCGGACAATATCTCTCAGCGGAAACCAGAAACGACGAGGAGCCCCGGGTTGTCCTCTCATTGCCAATTGAATCAGGAGACGAGTCTCCATGAGTCCAAGTCTCCAATTCATCACTACCATTGTCAACACAGTACCATTTTCTCCCGAGAGTGGTACGTTGACATCAGCATTTCCGACCTCGATCAAATATTGGACAGATTCTGGATATCCTTTCATGACGGCAGCCGCCAATGCACTCCCGTAATCACCAATCTGGAGGGGCAAGTTCACATTTGCCCGTTGAACTCCCACCAAATACTTCAATGTATTCAAAGAGTTGGTTCTAGCAGCGGCATCCAGGGCGCTACCGCACCATCCGTATTGCAGAACCAGATCGACATCTGCTCCGCCTTGCTCCACCAAGAATTTCGTGCCCTCCAACCAATCATCACGACTTGCCATAGCCAATGGACTGCCATCGCATTTCAAGTGCATGTTCACTTCTGCGTGGTCTTCAAAGATTAATAGCTGCAGCATGTCCAGACTTCGTTCACTTATGGCCGCTCCCAATGCGCATCGGCTAGGCCAAAACACCCCGTCTATCTGCGAATTCACGTCCGCTTTAGCGTCCTTCAGCAGAAACCTGGCCACTTCGACATGTCCATACTCGGCAGCCTTGATCAATGGCGTCGATTTGAGGCCGCCTTGTATCCCAACAGTACCACCTTTTGCCAGAAGGATCCGCAGAATATGGATATGGCCATATTCTGCAGCAAGCAGCACGTAGGTTCGACCGTGGTGATTAGTACTGGCTAGATCTAGCTCGCCATTATTCCACCATGAGTCCGATACTTGGCGAAATCCAAATATGCACACGGCCAAGATAGAGTATTCAGAAGGCATTACACTGTTATCATACCATCGGGCCCAAATCCGGTTTTGCGCGCTGCTATCCTGCGGAGCACCAAGAAACCTCTCCAGAAGCTCAACTACAGGAGACAAGTTCTCTGTCGACAGGCCGGTAGGGTCTAAGATCGCAATATGTTCTGGCCAGAAACAGGAGACATAGTATATGAATGTTCGTGTAAAGCAGGAATATTCGGGCGTCTTTTCCAGATTATAGAGGGGAAACTTGTGCGTGGTCTCATTCCAAGCTTCGCTCAACATAAACAGCAAGCACGCTTTGCCCACCATCAGGTTAGTGACGGCAGGAGTCCAGCTTTTACGGAGCTCGAAATACTCTACGACCGATAAATGCGATACTCTCCATACGTCGCGCTCGGAATCGATGACTAAAAGATTGCGGCATAATGCCAGCAATGCATCGTCGCTAATTGAGGCACACAACTTTGTATCCATACCGTCAGGATTGATGCGGATTGCTTCGAGTAGAGCTTCCCGTGCAAGCGGTTCTCGTGCGGCCAGGACCCACTTGAAAGCGCGTAGCGCGAGATCTCGGTCGTGGGGATGACTTTCCTCTATCTCCTCCAAGAAGCTTCTATACGTATCGTTGAGAGTTCTGGGAAGTGTGTGAAGACATCCCTCTATCGCTTCAGGAGACACGCATCTTTCAAGCTGTTTGAGTTGCAGGTAAGTCCATTGAAACTTAACAGTACCGTTAGCAATCTTAATGAGCTTTCACCGAACAAGAGAAGCATGTGCCTACATTCCTTGACTTTTCGCTGACAAAGTTGACTTGATTCTATCCTGGAGATCGCAGAATGCACTGTCCCTTTTGATCAGCTTTAGCATCTCTTGGTTGATGTAGGCCTGAATGTCCTGCTGGTTATCGGTCGCCTGAATCTCGATGTTTGGATGCGAGCGAACCTGCTGCTGAACATCTCCATCAGGACGGCTTGCAATGAACAGCTTGATTGGTCTTGTACTGTTACAAAGCAAGTCTGTAAACAGCTCAAGGAGGTCACCACGCGAAGCAGGATCGCATTCGTCGAAAGCGTCCAACACCAATGTAGTTCGGGGGTAAATGTTCAGGTATTTTGACATCAATTCCCTGCAGTATTTCAAGTCCAGATCGGCACAATCCATACGTAAGTCCTCGTAAGTGGATTCAAGTATAGATTGTATGTACTTCGAATAGGCCTGGTTTGAACTGGTTTCCTTTGCGGAAGAGGCTAGCTGACGCACGTAGCTCTGCGCCACGGCAAGGGGCCGTGTTCGAATGTCCTCGAACCGGTTGCAGTAGAAGTAGGCAAACCCTTCGTCTTTGGACGTTCTTGCCAGATTATATTAAACATGATCGATAACCTTCGAAGTAAGGAAGGTCTTCCCCACACCCGCTTGACGGCGTTAGCGCCAAGTCTAGACAGACTAGAGAAAAAGTGAGGGCAAACTTACGAGACCCTCGCAACCATAATACTGCCGAAGAATTGCTTTCTTCCCAGTCTCGGAATGCATCTTTTTGTAAGAGCCATTCACCCGTGCCTAGTGTCCGATTGTTGCGCACACTATTATGATGAGCCCTATATTTGACCGTTGAGACCCATTCTAGTATCTCCCTAGCCTCCCGGTCCTTAAGCTCCTTCAGACATTCTACAACCTGGCCCTCTATGCGGGGTAGGTGCCCTTGAATGTCCTGTAGGTGCTGTATTGCCTTTTGACCTTGCGCTGCACTGCATGCCTGAGCAGTATCAGCGAGCTCTTTCTCCTTAGCTGTCAGATCCGAAAAAAACATCCGAGCCTTTGTCGAACACTGCGTCCAAGATCATAGCCCAGTTCGAGGCCGACAGCATATTGATGCTGTTGCTAAATAACTCCAGGACAGCCCGATATACATTCACAAGGTCTCGACTAGAGGATCAGGAAAGTCACCGTTTTCAGTCGCATAAGCGGACTCATATAGTCTGCCACGATATGCGGCCTGCAGAATTCGCTCTACAGCACCAAGTAAGGCGGTCATCTTAGCAGCAAGGTTTACCGGGATCTACGAATTCTCAGTCAGCACGCTGCCTGACTATTGCACAGACTGCTCTATCGAGACCATCCTCGAAGGAATCATCTGTGGAACCTCAATCCCAAGCACTATTGGGACGTCCATTCTCGCTGTGTTATATGGGCATAAACCTACCTCCAAAGCCGCCTTGATCAACCCCCAGGGCCCTGCAGCTTGCGAGGGTGCGAACGGAACGACAAGGTCCCCGATCCGCTTCACCCACGTCGCGCATGTGGCAGCGTAGTCTCGCACAAGATGATCATTCTTGAACTTCCAGGCCTCCTTATCGCGAAATTCCCTCTTCTCCTGGAGGTCCTTAAGCAGAACATCCAGATCTCCTTCTTGCTTTGTGTCAAATCTCGGTTCGTAGCCCAATTCTCGAAGGTGACCTTGTGTTTTCTGAGAGAGCTTGTCAAACGAGTCCTTCCAGAGATTTCGAGGTACTTTCTTGTCGCCATTTAGCTCCTTCGAATAATCGGGCAAGCTGGAATCGGGGGTCTTATCATCACCTATGACACTGCTGACTTCACGTCGGGTGTCGCTGACTGATAGCGACCTTCTCTTCTCTCTAAGGTTTCGAGGCACAGCTTCTTCATGCTGATTCTTATTTGTGATCAACACCTCACCCGATGCAGACGTACTTCTCTTCTGTGAGAGCTCCTTTGCGGGTTCAATGGTGTCACTTAGCTTGCAGTCCGGTGACATGGACTGATTGTCGGCAGCAGGCTCTTTATGTCGAGAACGATGCAACCGGCGCGAGATGTTTGCTTTCAATCGATGCATCTTTGCTCCGCACGTTGACTATAACTTGGGCATTGCATAGCAGAGGTTGCACTCCAGTTTCTCCGGGAGGGCATGTCTCGGTGTTAAACCCGACTGTCGGGCGCGATCGATTGTGTGTTGGCTCAGCCTCAGGCGGGGTTCACGCGCTAAGTAGGCCGATAGGACTTAGTAGTATCTTGTTTCTTTCGCCCACTGACCAATTAGCTCCAGCTACAAACATTGCTCTTTATGAGGGTATTTTCGTCCTCATACCAGGAGTGGCTGTCTATTGACGTGTCACTTTTTGGCCATCTTATCCAAATAGCATCCATGATCGAGGTGGTGCTTTCCACAACTCCTATCGATTGATCAAGAATACGAGCATAACACGAAGTAATTTCGATGAGCGCAGGCTCGACTCCTTTGAAGAAACCAATGCCAGCGCCTCAATAGAAGGCAATTGACGGGCAGTGAAGATACAGAATACATAGATGGGATGGTTAGTGGATAAAGGAGGTCAACTGTACACACCTAATACCCCTGCACGGAGTATCCCCCTCCGTCCACTTGCTGCCTTTCGTCTGCCAGTTTTATTATCGCTCTGGTCTGCGTGGCCTTCCTCTGTCACTCAAACGGGGCGTGGTTGGGGCTTCTACAATCGTCTCTACTCTACTTTCACGGACATGGGGTTATGTATTTTGCGCTATGTCCAAGTTCGACCTACTGCTGAACTTTCATACATGGTGTATGCTCATTGCTTAGCCGCGCGGCACTGTTTGGGTGTATACTAGTCCCGTCACTGCTATAGAGCAGTTCATAACACGCAATTCGAGTGGAATGAAGAACTATAATGGTTAGAGATGCGCTCATAAGACAAGGAATTCCGGTCTATCCAAAACATAGCAAATGCTCACAAAGACGGACATTTCATTGCTGGTGGAAGATGTACTCTGGGATAAGGTTATGTCGGCATGTGCACAAGGCGGGAAGTTCTTGGAAGTACGGAGTGTCAGTTTTAAACTTGATCTCGTTTTCCTTTGGTGGCTTTGACACCTCATAAGATGATATTAACAATAGAACCTGGCCGAAGCATAATCTGATAGATACGAATCCAGTTGAATGTCTGTCTGAGTAGATTTCAGACCGCGGTCAAAGCACGGGCCGCGACCGCGGCGCACTAAACCCGATTAGGCCATCCGCCCAACCTCGAGCGCGCAAAGATCGCTGGTGCAAACACCGCGGAGCAATAGGTTGCTACTGCGACAGTTCCAGCTCTCCTCACCCTCCGACTGTCCAGGATGCCGCCCTTCAAAGATGAGCATATCTTGGTACGTGCAGATTTCTCCTAGTGCACCAATCATTGACTTACCCCCTACTGGCGGACTCAAACTGACCCCCTCCTCCCCAGATAATTGCGCCAGGCTCGCAAGTGACCCTGGCGCAACTGGGTCTCCCAGAGTCATTCACCCCTGCCCGCTTTCGCTTCCCTACGCGCATGTTTCCCGCCGAAAAGAAGGGCGAATACGAACCGTACAAGATCCGTGAGCGACGACAGGAAGTCCCCGTCAGCAATGGCAATGGCACCGACGCGCCCAAGGAGGACGTGGAGATGAAGGATGCGGAGTCGGCGCAGCCAGACGGAGCCGTGAAGACCGAGAATGAATCCTCCGAACAGCCCGAAAATGCGCAAAAGACCGAGAGCCAGGATGCCAACGGAGAGGAGAAGCAAGGAACGACAACCGAGATCTTCTACGAGGAGGATGTAACCTCCGATGAGGGGGCTGTCTATCCAATTCAGAGTGGTCGCATTGTCGACTGGCCATGCTTCTTTGCCCTTTTGACTCACGTTTACAACACTCTGAGTCCGCCCTTCCACACCCCGATCATGCTGATCTCCGAACCGGCATGGTCTGCCCGCGACCGCGAGACGATCACACAGTTTGTCTTTGAAAAGTTCAAGACGCCCGCCTTCTGCCTTATGGACTCCGCTCTCGCTGTATGCTACGGATACGGTACCTCGACGGCTACGGTGGTTGATGTTGGCAAGGATAAGGTCAATGTCACTGCCGTCACTGACTTCCTTGTTAACGAGCATGGAAGAGGTATCGCGCTGGAAGGCTGCGGTGGTGACTACATGACGGACAGGATTGTGGAGCTTTTGGGCCCGAAGGGATTTACAAGGGAGATGTGCGAACAGTTGAAGCGCAGTAATATCACTGAGCTCTTGCCCCCGGGCACACCTCTTCCTGGTGCCGCTGCAACCGCGCGACAGGGCGCTAACCCAGCCGCTTCGGCCTCAACTGGGACCAAAGACGGCAATGCACCGAATGAAAACATCCCCCGCGGTCCGGGTGAAGGCACCCAGACCGGTGGTGAAGGCAACGGCGAGGCCGATGAAGATGAGGGAGTTTTGGATGTCGCAGCCATTGTCAGTGGTAACACGAGTGAGTTCCTCGCCAATCGGGAGAAAGAGAAAGCCGAGAAAGCCTCAACCAAGAAGGGCGCGACAGATCAATCCGGAAAGCCCCTCCGCCTTCCCAACTCCAAGAAAGAAAAGGCCTCGTTCCAATTTGAGGAGTACGTAAGGATAGAACCTGAGAAGGATACGCCCAATGGGCCCGGGCGGTATATGCGTCAGTCTCGCGAGATCGAGGTCGGCGTTGAGCGCTTCCTCGCCGCAACCCCCAAGCAGAATTCGGGAGACCGTCTCACCGGCGGCCTGCTCGAGGATATTGCGACTCAGATCCACCACACTATCCTTGCAGTGCCTGATGCGACGAAGCGGAGTGAACTTTGGGACTCGCTCATTGTAGTCGGCAATGGCAGCAAAATCAAGGGTATGTAGCCGGACCCCATCAGCATGAGGATATTTATTGACATTCTACTTATAGGCTTCACACAATCCCTGCTGGGCACAATCACCCAGAAGTACATTCTCTCCCCATCCGCCACCATGTTCACCTCTGAAATCCCCTCCAACTTCTCTACTCCCCTTCCCACCGGAGGAACCAACACTCCGGCACCTTCCGGCCAGGCTGGTCCGATGAATCACCCTGCGGGTCACGGTGTGAATCCTCTGCTTGTCGCAGCCACCCATGCCAACAACCCCATGCCCGGCACTCCTTCTATGGACCCCGCCATGTCGCATCACCGCTCGACGGGACATTCTCAAACCCCCACATCGGTCAAGACTTTGAGACCCCCGGAATACTTCCCCGAGTGGAAGGAGCAGAGCAACACCAATGCCCCTGGCGCTGCTACCACGGGAGGGCCTGGTGCCCCAAGCGGTGGCCACGGCATGGAGGAAGCCGTGTTCCTCGGAGCACAGGTTGCATCGAAGGTTGTTTTCGTGATCGACCAAGGCGTCAGCAAGGGCTTCATGAGCCGAGTGGAGTACAACGAGAACGGCCCTTCTGCGATCCATGAGTACACCATGTGATCACCTTTAACGATTAGCTTCTGTGCCTGGGGATTGTTACGCGGGTTTGTTGACATATGAAAGCGGTTTCTTTTACTTACGGACCTGGTTCTGGTTCCTATTGATGTTTCAAATTTACGGTTAATTATTTTGTTCAGCTCTCTTTCGTGGATATTGTATTCTACGTGATGGCGTCTTTCACTAGAAAAGCAAGACTGACTCGGATGCTAGGATAGGTGGAGTCTGGTCGGATAGTACTTGAATAGTATTCGTGCAATGAGTTGATGTAGTTGCTTTGGTAGGCAGCTGGAGTAGTTACTGGTGCTTATTTCTGGCCGACCACGTATGCCCCGTTGATGATGTGTGTAGGGATACCTTATACTATCTTCATATAAACGACGCACAAACAACAGCCAGCAAGCTTAAACCCCCTCCTAGGCCCGATCTACTGCACTTATCAACAGACACAGACTACTTCCTTCACAACAAACATAGTCCACCACGGATGCAAAATTCACCCCAACCTAGCTCCACATCGCCCTCGTTCCTTGAACCACCGTCCTGCGCTGATTCGGCGTATGAATGTTCTACCGAAGCCTTAGAGACGTGGATTTCCACAGTTGAGGGGTTCAAGGCACAATAGTGTCAAAGTCGTTCGAAAATAATGACATATGTTCCCAATCGGGAATTTACGGGTACTTCGGAAAGAGGTTCCGAACGGATCAAGATATTGATCGAGGATGCGTATGGTCAACTAGTCAGGGGACGTGCAAGTAAGACGGTACTTTGGGAAAAAACCAGCCTCCTCCATCCATATCGAACCCCTAACTTCTCACAAGGTAAAATACATGGCCTGTATATCAAACACCAAATCATTTTCACCCCAAAAAAAACAGCCACCTCAATCTCCAAATTCTGCCCTTCAAATGGCAACGCCTCAATCCCCAACATAGTCCAAGTAGGCTGATGATCGGGACACCACTTCTTAACATTCTCCACCATCAGGTTGATAATCTTCTCTCGGGTCTGGGGCAACTGGACATGGTACGTGCGGATCTTCACGACGCGGTCCCAGCCGGATTTCACGCTAGCGCGTAGATCGGGCTTGGCTTTTTCTAGTGTGTAGAGGATGACTTCGTTGATGTTGGTGAATGCTTGGGCGACTTCTTCGAGTGTGTGGGGGGCACTTCGGTGGATGTGGGGGACATGCCGGCTGATTCCCGAGGGAAGGGGGGAATAATTAGTTGGTGATGTTGAGAGGAATGGGATGAGGCTGGGGAAGGGGGAGAGGGCTCACTCTGGCCGGCTATTTCCATTCGGTCTCCGGCTATGCAGGCTTCGGCGAAGCCGTAGGCTTCTTGGAAGTGTTGGCCGCGGCCGGGGCGGGAGTAGCTGGGGATTGGGGACATGATGGTGGTGAAGTTGGTTTGTGGATGTATGGGGGTGGAGGAAATGTGGAAGGTAAACTGCTTTGTTTGAAGAGGGGTCATGGCTATTTATGTTTCAATTGTTGTGCCTGGAAGTGTCATTTATCGATCTTGTCGCTATCAACGCTAGTTGCAGTAGTGCTTACTAGCTGTCAGGCGTCCTTCTTAGAATTGATAATCAATCGCCGCTCGGACATGCAATGTAGTATTGAAGCGTTGATCATTGGATGTTAAAGCATAACTTTTTTTTCTCGTAACCACATAAACATCTATAATGTTGAGCACCTCACTCCTCGCCAGATAGTTCCATCGGTAATTCCGGTGTAGTGTTGAATGCTTTCAAGCCTGTCTCTCCCGTGCCACTATCCTCTCCACGTGTAGCAAGTTCTGACAAGGCGACATCGTCCTGTGGCACGTAAACTGACGAGGACATGCCGACATAGCTGCTCCGATAGCGATGTGGGTTCTTGGTGCGGCGGTAAATGATCGCGAAAGCTGGAAGACAGCCGACAATGACAGCTAGCAATGAAGGTTAGCATAGCAGAGAGAATAAGAGGAAGATCATACATATTCCCGCCTCGATCATACCCCAGAATGCCAGCCAGGAACTGCTTGGGGTGCTGTCGTTGTTGGCTCGAGTGCCAATTTGGATGACTCGTACGACGGCCATGATCACGCAGATGGTGCCCAAGGCAAACACCGCAGCAACACTGATCTTCTGGCCCAGCGGAAGGCGCAGTGACACTACCAGTCGCAACGGCAGCACCATGACTTATTCACTTTAGTAATGAATTCTCATCGTACTCCGGAACAGAAACCTACTCATTATATCGCTGATTGCATCGACCGCAAAACTATAATACAGACTGGCAATCTCTGCCACGGCGTCTCGATGTGTACTGCACTCCCCTTCACACTTGTCAGTATCCACACATGCAGGGGACACGGAGCACTGACCAACGGTGAACCATGCATGCATACTTTGACATGAGGTAAAATTGGATACAATTGCCCCGATAAAGGTCTACACAGCTGTCAGCTGAACGTTTTCCCGCAATAGGTCGATTTATGGACGCACCACGATGCAAAAACACAATACCGCATACCACCATTTCATCTCACCCGGCAGGTCTTGGAGAAGTCGGCGATAGAGAAATAGAAAATATAGCTTGACGGACCACAGCGACCCCCATAATAGCATGGTGTTCGCAAAAAAGACCTTGATCATGAAAAGGGCGTCGGACAGCATAGTCGCCCAAGGACCGATCTTGCCATCCGTATACGCATCGATTTTGTACACAACCGGGGTGACGATAATGTACGCAATGCTCATGGCCAGGAAGCAGGCCCACGACAGCAGAATGCAGCCATCCTCGACCTGCAGCGACCGTAATTTCCAGAAATTCAGACTAAACCGAGCAATGACCACCGCCGACGACAAGGCGATCATGGTATAGCCAGTGGCCTGTACCTGGCTGGCTGAGACATAATTTCTTTCCATCCGGACTGGTGGAGCGATCGCCAGCGATGTCTAAGTCGTTTGACGGCAGACATCCCTTTTCATATTCTGCCGACATCCCGGGTGGTAAGCATCCTGCGGCGGGCAAGAGGATACATTAACAAGTGTTAATTTCACGGATACGGCTAATCTGGATGTCATCCGTCATCAAGCGAGCCGGACGGCCGCTAAGGAAGAGCCGGCGGTATAGCGCCTTGCTTTGGGGAAGCCACCATGGTAGCCTATAAAGGAATGAGCCCCCTGCAGTAAGTCAACGCCTCCTGAAACCTCTACGACTCCTGCCCCAACCCTTATCTTCATCCTGTTCCTGCCAAGCACCATGCGGCCCGGCGCGCTGTTCATCGCTACGCTTCTGGCGAGAGTGACAGCGCTGGACAACACTACCAGTCGCATTGTCGCTAAATTGGCATCCTACGGAGTTGATGCCTACGAGTATTTCAACTCCAGCTTGCTGCTGGACTCGTCATTGAGCACGCGGTCGTTGGGATTTTGCTCCGAGCTGGTGAGTTACTTCCCGTCCTCCTGCGTGCTAAAACCGGACGATGGCACCCGAACCCTGTCTAGTCGTCGGGCTAACGCATAAGCACCAAATTGACAATTTCACTAATCCGACCAGTGTTCCGCACTTCCCCGGCTCTATACTGGCCACGTGTTGCAACGCTCGACTACGGCTTACTCGACTTGGGATGCCAGCTTCTGGTCGCAGCAGCAGGAGGATGTCGATCCAGCCTGCGTTTTCCAGCCAGCCAGTGCAGTGGAAGTCGCTGTCGGCCTGCTGCTGTCAGAGCTGACGCTGTGTCCGTTTGCTGTTAAGAGTGGCGGCCATGCCGCTTTTGCCGGCGCCTCCAACATCCAGGATGGCTTGACGATCGATCTGGTCGGGCTGAACTCTACGGCCTTGTCCAGGAATTCCACTATTGCGTCCGTCGGTGCGGGTAACCGCTGGTTGGATGTCTATGATTGGCTAGATCCCATGGGCTTATCGGTCATTGGTGGTCGTGTGTCCGACATTGGCGTGGGCGGCCTGACGCTGGGAGGTATGTGACAGATCAACCAGAGGCAAGGAGAATGTAAGCTAACAAGGTATCCAGGAGGTATCTCCTTCTTCTCCGGTTTTCACGGCTGGGCCTGTGACAATGTTGCCAATTACGAGGTATATCGATCTAAATTGCTTATCAATACTGCTTCTGTATCTGACAAGATTGGTCTAGGTTGTTCTGGCCGACGGTAGCATTGTCGATGTTAACCTTGACACTCATCCCGATCTTTACTGGGCCCTGCGTGGTGGTGGCAATAACTTTGGCATCGTTACCCGCTTCGACCTGACAACGCACACTCAGGGCCTCATGTGGGGAGGCTCACGCATTTGGCTGGAAGAGTATCAATCCGACATTCTCCATGCGCTTGTGGACTTTGGGTTCAATTCGCCGTCGGACCCCAACGGGGCACTGATCGTGTCGGTGGCCTACGCTGAGGGTCTCTACCTGCTGGTCGCAGACTTGGAGTACGCAAAACCGGTGGCCAATCCTCCTATCTTTGGAAACTTCAGCAGCTCGGGAGTCCTCGAGGACACCATGGCCATTCGCAGTCTTTCCAACATCACACTTCTGTTCAAGGAATCCAATCCCAACGGACTGCGCGAGAGCTATTGGACAGGCACCGTCCAGCTTGACTATGAGCTGGCGACCAACATCACCAACATGTTCAAGCAGGAACTCGTTCCTATTCAGAACGTGACCGGCCTTGTCCCCGCTCTCGTTTGGCAAGTTATCAGCACTAACACCATGGAGCACATGGCCAAGAATGGGGGTAACGCGCTAGGACTCGATCCGGAAGACGGACCCTTGCTGCTGATCAACCTTGCTTTCATGTGGGATGATGAGGCTGATGACGCCGCAGTCATGGCTGTTCTGGGCAGAGTCACTCAAAAGGCGCTTTCAGCAGCGAAGGCTCGCGGTCTGGGCAGTCGCTATCTGTACATGAACTACGCGAGTCAGTACCAGTCCGTCGTGCCCTCTTACGGCACGGCAAACCAGGCTCGCTTGCAGGCGATCTCGAAGAAGTACGATCCTTTGCAGGTGTTCCAGAATCTGCAACCGGGTTATTTCAAGCTTGATGGGGCGCCAGCTTTGTAGGATGCTCGATGCATAGATATTTCGGGAATCACAAATTTCTTCTTCACGCTAATTGCAGTGGATTATACAAAACTTAGCTCTTCAGGTCAGCGCCTATGACTGAATCCCTATGGACCTCAAAGCTGGGGTTCCCCAAACAGATAGAATTATATAGAATGTACGGGTTAGCAATACTGTTACTACACTAAGCAATGACATCGGAGTCCGACAGCACGCTAGTTCACTTGAAGGTTCAGGAAAAAGAAAACAAAGAAGTTCCAATTTCGAGTCAATCTTCTGCTCCGTCGTGCCAGACTCAATAATCTTCAAAAGAGACTAGGCTGAGAAACGGAAATGACCTCCCCTTCAGCAATGACCAGTTTCGGCGCTAACCATGCAGTGTGAGAGCAATACTCATTTTCCCTAACCACCACCGAGAACGAAAACGCAACTTAAATTCTCAAATCAGAATACAGCTTTCGCAAACTATTAGTACTGTTCATAGGTGAATATCCAGACTACAACGTCCTTTGCGAAGCTTCTACAATATCCGCTGTCGACGTATCTCCTTAGCGCCAGCCAGTTTCAGACATCCACCTTGTGAAACACGACACACGACACATGAGAAATGATAGCCAAAAGATACGCGCCCAGCTAACACAGACGCCTACTAGCCAACCATACTACGCGACACTATGCTGCAGTCATTTAACATGCGAACCCCTCTCAGCCTTGCGGCGCCTATAGAGGCATTAAAGACGTAGCCTGATGACAAGCTACCCAACAAATCCAGCACAGCACCGGCCCATCTCCTTCCAATTTTCTATCACTCAAAACTAAAATCACTACACCAAGACCACCATCTGAAATAAGGCACTACTGAATGAAAAAAAAAAATGATCTCCCCGCACCCCAACACCTCCTACACCCTCGCCTGGATCTGCGCCCTCCCGGAAGAATATGACGTTGCGATCGCAATCCTCGATGAAATCCATGGAATACCGCAGAACCAGCGACTCGAAGACAAGAATGCCTATCTACTAGGCAGAATAGGCGCGCATAATGTCGTTATGGTCTGTCTCCCTGAAGGCCGGATGGAGACAACTGCCGCCGCAATCGTAGCGGAGAACTTGTGTCAGACTTTCCGGTCGGTGAAGTATGGGTTTCTTGTTGGTATTGGGGGTGGTGTTCCAGGGTCCGGGAGGGATATCAGGTTGGGGGATGTGGTGGTTAGTGTTCCGGGGGGTGGGTATGGGGGTGTTGTGCAATATGATTATGGTAAGGTTGGAGGTGATGGGAGGTACATTCATCGGGAGCATATTAATGCACCGCCGGGAAAGTTGTTGGCGAATGTTACGCTTTTGGGGTGTCTTTCGAGGAATAATGTGGGTGATCAAGGGAATATGGCGGCTGATATCTTGGCGTCGCTGGGGGAGAAGTATGCGTATCCTGCCGGGCTGCGGGATAGGTTGTTCTGCTCTGATTATTCGCATCGCAATATCCCGGGATATACTGGCTGTGAAGCCTGTAATCCTGTGGGCGAGGTGCTTAGAAGGCTGAGGACTAGTGATTTGCCAGGTGTGCATTTGGGTACGATTGCTTCGGGGGATGGTTTGGTTATTAATGCTGAACTTCGGGATAGGTTGAACCGGGATTATGGGCGGTCGATATTGTGTTTTGAGTGTGGATCAGCTGGGGTTATGAACATTTTGCCTTGTTTGGTTGTCAAAGGCATTGCGGGCTATGCGGATTCGCATAGGTATGATGCGTGGAGGCCGCGGGCTATTGCTGCTGCTTGCAGCTATGCAAAGGCTTTGCTTTTGCAAATCCCACCGGAAGAGGTGCCGCAGCAGGAGAATTCTGTGCATGTGACAGATCTGAGTAAGTGGGACGCTTTTATTAAGGTTACTTGGGACTTTGCTAACGGTTTTGCGTCCTAGTCAAAGACCTGCGTGATGAACTGGGTCAAATAAAGGCGGCAATTAATGGTCTCTGGAGTCTTCAGAAAGGTGAAGTTGCAATTAGGAGTGTGTTTCCCCTTTTGCAATGAGCTAACTACAGTACAGATAATGCATATACAAAGACCTACACTGATCACCGCCTGACGACTGTGAGGAGCAGAAGCGTGAGCATCATGACAAGCTTCACTAGCAGGCTAGCCTTCACATATTCTGGCTTGATGCAGGCGAGCCAGTACGTAAGCCACAGGATGTCGTTATTTTTCGACAGCATGAAGCGGTATATCTGCTCTAAGCTACTTGGGTACCCTTCAAGAGACGCAAAAGCCGGCCCTAGTGCTGGAGCACTCCCTTCCGTACTTTCATTCCAAGGATGGGGGTGGCATCTCATCGCAGAGCCGCACATGTGGGTGTCCTCGTGATATATAGTGAAATTTCTCGATCCGACCTCGCTTGAATGAGGATCAACACATGTCCGCCTATTTACGAAGATAAAGTCGAGCAATGTTCGTGATGTGGCTCGTATGGAGGGGTCAAAGGGAATGCCGAGACTTGCAAATTGGCATTTCCGACACTTTATGCTCTCGCTTGATCGCGCGATCAACACTTTAGCCTGTCTGCCTTCAAATCGACAATCGTTTTCGATTTCTATTGGTGCGGAAGCATTCCCACACACGGCTCAGTGATCTCGTATTCGTGCCGATCAGAGGAGATTTAGCATGGCTTCGTCTTGGCATGACAGATATATAGACCCTGAACTGAAAATTTAGCCTTATATCGAGGGATAGGGGATTCTTCTCCCATCGTGGGAGTTTATAGGGTTTTTGTCAGAACATCTCTAAGTACTGCAGTTTTGGGCACCACAAACGGGGAGTATTGCGACCAATCCCTTAAAACATGGCGGAACTCACAGTGGGATATGTTTCTGGCATCATTGCCGCTGGCGTGTTTCTGGGTAGGTGACTCAGCCCTGAAGACTAAACATAAGCTAACTGCTTCAAGTCCGTCTCTTTATTCCAACGGTCATTTGTCTCTTGGTTATCGGTCATCTGCCCGCTGAAAATTCGATCGTCTCTTGGTATATATTCTTCTCACGGACTAATTCCATAAAGCGAATATCCACTGATTGTGCGTAGGTCAGTCGTTAGCCGGCTGCTTCACTCATCATATTGGCCCACAATACTTGATTCAGATACCGCTGCCAGCACAGGCGTCAGCAAACGAATCCTCACTTATTCCTGGCTTCAGTTGATCGCAGCTGTACTTGTATCAATTACCGGAATCGTCACCCCTCTTGGCCTCTACGACACAATCGGTCCCCAGGACAACCCCACAGACGTTCTCTTCCACTACGCGCCTGATACATCAGCCTTCGGGAAGGCAACCCCTAGTAGGGATGGATATAAATCGCTTCGCATGTGTTATGCAGATGAGGATCCCGACACCCCAGAGGGCTGTCCCGGCGCACCACCAAATCGGGAGGACATGGACGACATCACTGAAGCCTATTCCGTTTGGCCTAGCAGTATCAGCCTGTTTACGAGCGGAAACGTGTCAGCGACAGTCTCCAGCGTGTTCGATGTCCAGTGGCGGTCGTTTCGTTCCTCAACGCATATAGTACCAGGCGCTAGCCCTACAGGGAGTGTATTCTCTCAGGGATATTATCGACAGATTTCCCAGCTGATCTTGGATGAGGACTTGTTGGCTGTTGAGGGTTTAATCGTGGATAGCAAGGCTGGACGGATCGGTTTCCGCAATCATACTATTCCTGCAAACCTGCCCATGGGGGCTGAGTGGACAGAGGATATCCTGTTCATAGAACCCGAAAGCCGCTGTGTCAACACTAATCTGACAGTGGATTACAACTACGATCACCAGGCACAATTTAGCAGCTTCAGTACCGACAACATGTATAATACCGATCTTCGAAACTTAGCTCTTGTCGACCGCGGTGGTTTCGTCAACCTACATCATGAAAGATACGATATCAATGCTTCCAATTTCCAGGAGAATGCTGCACTGTACGAACGTGCCTACAATGCCGCATGGAGACACAACATGCTCATAATGCAGTACTTCAACGTGACAACCAACGGATCAGATGGACGCGTACCATTCGAGTATATGCACTCAGAGTTGGGAAAGAGGTTCAGCCTGGCAAACATTTCGACTAATTTCGTCGAGCCGATGACTGTCCAAACAGACTCCGGGTACGGTAGTTTTCTTGACCTTCAAGACGGCTTTAACTTGGGAACCAACTATTCGATCCCTCAGTCCAAGAATCCACTAAACCTCAGCACCTATGATGTCTACGCCATCGGCAGTGAAGCCTGTCATTACCCTTCCGATACGGCTCTATCAGACATGTCATTCGTCGGCGTAGCCTGCGGTACTATTTTCGCCGCTCCTCGGAGACTCGACGGTGACCCGCTCATCCCAGACACAAACAGCACCTGGAGCACCCCGCTCTATTCCTGCGCAGCGGCGACCAAGGCGGCTGTTCGCGAGGTCACTTTTCGGTTCAACGGTACTGGGGGCCTAGACAAACTAGTCATCCAGAGCATCAACGCAAAGAAATACAAAGACCCCTCTGAGCTTCCTCTCTGGGGCGTCGAGCGACTGACGAACCACACCATGCTAAATGTGCGCCCTCTATGGGGCCTCGTCTCACCCGAAGTCGGCGCTCGCGACGACATCTCCACCGTGCAAAGAGACTACCTCTGGCTGCCCGGCTACACGGACCTCCTCACATCTGACACCTTAGCCGGCGAGCCAAGCATGCCCGGAAACCTATTCTACACACAGCGACTCCTCTCCCTATTTGACATCACGACTCTCGACGAAGCAACCTCCCGATACACAGGATCCGGTGACTTAGCTCTATACAACCGCTGGTATGAACTGTCTTCCTCCGCCAGCGGCGTCGAGAAAATGCTCGGGCTTATATGGACCGACATGTCCGCTAATACTATTGTCGGCACGCGTGGATGGCATAACGCTCCAAGTCAAACTTCCAACAATAGAAAATTGGCGAAGCGAGATGCGGGAGGGGTCAGCGTGCCGGTGACGCTGTGGTCAAGGAACATAAAATACCACGTTCCCTATGCCATTCCAGCATTTATTGTTCTTGCTCTTGCTCTTGCACTCGCGGGACTCACGTTCTGTCTTCTTATTTCTCGCCGGACGGGTCTGCGACAGATGCGGTCTTATCTAGCTCGTACCTCGCCGGGTAGAATTCTTGGAACTGGGCTTCATCCGGATCAGGCCGGTGTCCTTGCGTCTACCAAGGCTTGGATTCAACAGGTGGGTGTGCGTAAGGCTACTCTGCCGGGGCAGAAGGAGGATGGGACTATCCCGTTGTTGGATATCCCTGCTGCTACTGAGGAGGGGAGTCGAGATCGGAAGTAAGGCTAGCTGTTCTTTACTTTGGACTGGGAAGTTCGCTCCTATCGTTTTTATTTCATCATGTTCTATTCTTTCTCTGATGGTTTTGGATACCTGGGGACAAAATTGGCTCGGGAGATGCTGAGTACGCAGGCGCTGGTCAGGAAGCTTGATATCACGCAAGATTCTGGGGATTAGTATGTTGCAAAGATTAACGTGCAGTAACTAGTTCTATTATTTCTAATCCTAATACAATCGTGCATCAAGACCTAATCTCAGGCCGCTGCTGCCGGACCCTTCCATATGCTGGAGAACAGCCAGTCCTAGAAAAAGGACTGCTGTGTTTGGAAGCTATATATTGGTCACTTTGACGAAGAGCCTAGGCAAGTCACGGTGGAACATCTGACAATCTAGAGATCATGGACTTTCTGAATGAACAAGCTTGCATCAACTAGCACAACTCACTTGGAAAAGAATAATCTGGTTGCAATGGTGAGTCAGATGTGCGCTCGAGCAAGGCAGATCATCGCCCATTGTGGACCTGCATGACTATAGGACGAAGAGGATTGAAAGGATCGATTGAGCGAAACTTGGAATTTCGGAGTAACTCGGGGCTGAATACCCTGGAGTAGAAGATAGGGCACAGTGGGGACTAGTAGTTGGCTAATATGCATCGTGTCACAACATACTGTCGATCAAGGCTGAGAGGGGCCGATGACCCCGCAGGCTTCATGCTGGTTCCATACGTCAGTAGCATCACTTCTGTGAACTAAAGACGGTCACGGAGTTTGCCCAAGCTGGTCGGGAGCATCGGAGGCACATATGAACGCAACTCCTCAGCCCTGATGGAACGGTGCTGTAGAGTTGCAGCGACGATTGGGGGCATTTACCGTCATGTGACACATTGCCACCAAAAGAAATACTGAACTATTGACTGCCTTATGCCTAACAACCTTGTCTTAACGCACCTATTAACCGGATTCAGATTGTTTCACAGGGATCTACTAGAGGCGAAGTTGTGCTCGAAATGGATAGTCATCCTGTAGCTAGTACGGTCAAAATTTTTGATTTAGGAGCATTGATCAAGGGAACAGCAGTACGCTCTTGGTGTTCGAAGATCTAAATACACCCTTCCTGCTTCACCAGAACTCCTCTTTCTTGTCCACCAAAGTCCAGCCTCTGAACTAGGTAGCTTATCTACATTCTATTCTTCAATCGATTCTATTTCATCTCCTTCGGCCTGCTTTCAACCCTACCATCAAGATGAGATTCACCACTGCACTCGGTGCCTTCGCACTCATCGCCATCGCAAATGCCGCCGTGACTGGGTACTGCACACCTGGCTTTAATTACTGCGATGGGGTGCTCGATGATGTCGGTGAGCTAAAATCCACTCACTTACATAAAGGCTGCTTGTGAAGTCCTTACACTGATATTCAAAAAGGCGACAACGATGCGGCCATAATGGACGCATTGAGACGATTCGGTGATGTACCAGACGTCCGTAATCGAACTGGTTGGCGTTGGTTCTTGTTCCATTGCAACGATGATCATTCACTCACTGTTGTTGAACGTTGTTACGATGGTTGTCAGAACAATGGGAAGGGGAACACTGATACCTGTCGTCGTTAAATTCGGGACCTGAGGAATTCGTGGCTTTCAGATCATATGAGTCTGTATGTTGAAAGTTTGGTTTAGGCTCTTGGTTGGTTAGGGCTTACTATGCAATTTACCATTGGGCTTAGGATTATGTACTACGTTTTTGTGTATGTACAAAGACAGTGGGAAAGAAGTCATTCTCTATCTATCATCCAGTTCACAGGGTCAGAGTAGGTTCATCTTAATGATGAGAGCTGCAAACACACTTAATGAACATAAACTGCAAAAGAAAAAAAAATCAACAAACAAACAAAGAAAGAATCCAGGGCATGCTCAATACCCATTATGAGCCTGCGTCCGATGACTCTGCGCCTCGCCTCGCGACCCGAACGACCTCTTGTAATCCGTACACCAAAAATGCTTCATCGTATCATGCCGCCTCAAACTCGCCTTATCCATAAAAAAGCGACAGCAGTCTAGACATATCCTCTCGCGATAAGTGTTACAGATTTCACGAATAGTTGAGACAACTCCAGATGGGAAAATCTCTATATCCAAGCTTGTCATGATCCTGTCTCCATAACGTAAGCCACAATGCACTCCTGTTGTTTTCAGTTGATTTGTATAATCACACACCGTAAATTCCTCTCCACACGAGCTATTTTTCCTATCAATAGTGTCGAGAAGTCGTATGAAAATAGTGGGTACTCCTTGCGTGTCTCGTGAAATTCTGAAATCCCATTCAGTGTATCAAGATGCTCCACGGCGAAACTTGCTACTGTATCCCGCAGCTTCGAGTTCTGTGGACTGTCCGGTCCGTAGACTTTCTCGATAATTCGGATGAATTCCTTATTGTCCCGAACTAGTGTAAGTCTGTGTTCTATCTTCTTCTTCGCAAGGGCCATTAGGGGCTCGACGGCGTATTTATCAGCGACATTATACATTGCGATACTAACATGCGCTTTTGTAGTCGGAGCCTCATATTCGGGGTTATTGGCAGGGTGTTTCTTGTCCGGTGTTTCGTCATAGTCTCCACGATAGAAATAGTCGATCATCTTACTAATGATTGTGGGATCATCGTGGATAGTAACGACTCTTGTTTTCGCCTCTTGTAACTTGTTAGACTCATACTGGCATATTCCATAAACTCACCTGAAACTTCCCACACAGGGCCTTTTCGAAAAATGGAGACTGCGGACAGATGATACACCGATGGACTTTGAAGGTTGATGGGTGGCATTTTATGTCGAAGTCGGAGTATATTCCATTTCGGAGACTAGATTGGTTTCTTGTTAGTTGGTGTCTGATTGGTAGGGCTCTGGGGCGAGATATCACTTTGATAGAATGGCAAGGAGGGTGCTGGGGTTGGTGGCTATGCTCCTCAACAGTGCGAACCAGTGCATTTTCGAAGGATGAATGAAGGTGCTTAGGTGGTAAGATGAGTTAGTCGATGATGATATTTCAATCGCTCGAATTAATACGTCACGGATTAGGGTAATGCTAGGGTCATGTTTGCGTTGGGGTCGGATGCGCGCTATAGGCTTCCGTACCAATGAAGACTATGGGTTGGAGTGGATAACCTCGCCAACGGATCGGATTGTATGGCTTCAAGGTACAGGTCTATATAGGCGGGAATTATCAGACGTCTTTGTCGTGTTTTATGTAGTTAAGGATTTAGCTGGGCCGACGTTGTAGAAAGCAATCTTGAATTTGACATATCCTAAATGAGAACGCCGCGCATCACATACAGAGAAATCATTAAGACCAACGCCCAAATAACCAGTCGGCTAGCTCATGATGGCCTCCCCTTCTTGCAAAGCCTGCTGCCTGACGACGTATAGACTCCAGATCTGCATCTTCCCCATAGGCATTCAGAAACAACTGGACCATATCAAGATGGCCATACTCCGCAGCGCGGTCAATTGCTGTTCTACCACATATTTGCGCAGCTGGTGCAGTGACATCTGCTCCACGTTCAAGAAGCAGTACAGCCAGCTTCAAAATCCCACTTCTGGCAGCCGCCTGGAGCGCAGTAGCCCCTCCTTTCAGTGCTGGAAGAGCATTGACGTCCGCACCTCGGTTCATTAATAACATGGTTAAGTTGAAATGGTGCCATCTGATAACCTCTTGAAGGGGTGTCCCGTATGATCTGGTTGCATGGATGTTAACGGCGGCACCATGATCGATAAGAAGAATACAGGACTCCCTGCAGCCATTGTGAGCTATGCGCTGAAGCATAGTGCTTCCATCTTCTGCGCAGGAGTCTGAATTTGCGCCTGACTCTAAAAGAAACTCAATGGCGTCCTTCAACTCCCTTTCCCTCCTACAAAACAAACCCGAGATACAATGCAGTCGATCCCATGCCCTTTGGATTGCTCTGTGGCGAAGCGATGGCAGAATCATGTTTAGATTTTCCAGTATTTGCCGACAGTAAGCTATGTCAACTTCCCGGGTGGACGTTAGATTCACCGCCAGCGTGTCAACCCACCCAGGCTGCTTGTGAAAGTCAGAGACTTTGGCTAGAAGCAAATCAATAACGTTAAAGCTCAATCTTTCGCGTAATGCAAGCCATAGCAGGCTTTCGTGGGAGGTTTGGTGTATCCCAGGAGGTGCAACAGCGTTGGCGCCATATTGTAACAATAACTTTATCATCTCCTCGTTCCTGTCCATTATAGCCCAGTCAAGAAGGCTTACCTCTCTTACTGAGTGATACTTCTCAATTATAGTTTGCGCTATTGGCACTAGCGATTCGTAGTTTATCTTCGCACCACGGTCCAAAAGAAACCGCATCCCTTCGAACCAGCCTTGGCTGGCTGCCACTGCAAGAGGTGACTGGATATCATATGCGCCGATTCCGTTAACATCCGCGCCGTGCTGCACTAAGAGCTCCAGTAGTGGCAGTGATTTATGCTTAGCAGCGGCTGAAAGAGCAGTCATGCCCTCCTTGGCTGGTGGAGAGTCAACCCCTGCTCCCAGGGTGATCAGATCTCTCACAAGACTTATGTCACCGTAAGAGGCTGCTGCCTGAATAGGTGTCACACCCCCGACGGGCGATGGATCTACGTTCAAATCCGCCCCTTCAGCGAGTAGAATCCCGGCTATCAGATAGTGACCGTTCAAACAGGCGGCCTGCAAGGCAGTCAATCCTTTTTCCGCTCCTGCTGGTGCATTTATCTGCGCGTCGGCGTCCAAAAGCATCCTTAGAATCTCCAGATTCCCGCTCTCTGCTGCCCCTTGCAGTGCAGTGCGGCCATTGTACACCGCAGGTGGGGCGTTTATATCAGCACCCCAGTTGCAGAGCAGTCGATGGATTTTGATATATCCTAATCTTGCGGCCATTTGTAAAGGTGTGTCACCTAAAGGGGATGCAGCACGAGAGTCTGGAGATGCTCTTGCGTTTAACAAAAGCAAGATTATCTCCATATTCTGATTTATAACTCCATATTGCAAGGCAGTATACACCAATACCTTGCTGGTAAGTTGAGGGTGATATTTTCGTGGATCCATTTGAAGGCGAACGGCTCTACGAGAATGATGAGGCACGGAATCGCAATGTTCGGATGCCGGGAAAGCCATCGCAGAAGCTCCGTGTTGGAGCAAGTACCGAAGAAGACTCACATTGTCCACCATTGCAGCAATCTGAACCGGGGTTAGAAGAGGAATCATTACCTCGTCGGCGTGGTAGCCCTGAAATTGGATTTTCTGAACACAAGGAACATTTATGTCCGCTCCATGCTGGACGAGATACTCGGCCACCTCTAAGTGGCCTCGGGAAGCTGCGGCTTGCAAAGCTGTTCCGCAATACCGCGCAAGGTAAAGATTAACCCGAGCACCCTTACTCTGAAGCAGTTTCACGGCCGTGAGGCTGCCGCTACGCGCTGCATCAATCAAAGGGAAGCCAGTCTCTCGATCTTTGATGTATTTTTCTGGGTCGGCACCAAAGGCGAGCAATGTTGGTAGGACCTGAACTTTCAAGTCCCAGTAATTAGGCCTTCTAGAACTGAATTTGATTTCAGGGCGAACCCCGGCCCTGCAGAGTAGCTCAACCATAGCTTCATTTCCACTGTATACCGCTTCGCATAGATACTCGGTCCAATTTTGGTGCCAAGAGGGAGTATCAGTCTGTAGCCAGAAACCGCATTGTATGAACTTCCGACTAAGATATATATTTCCAAACAGGAGAGCATTGTGGAAAACCTTCCTTGCGAACACCGCTATCAACGGGGACCGAAGACGACAGATGAATAAGAGGATGATCGTGCCGCCTTTCTCGACAATGTATTCAACAATCTCGTGGATTTGCGATTGGCTGAGTAAATTGTTGGCGGACAGAAAAACAAAGTGCTGTAGGAAACGCTTGAGGATGGAAGAAGAAGAGTTCCCCCGCAGTGCTTTTGGTTTCAAGGTCGAGGAATGTCCGGCATACGGTTCTTCAGGTGGAAGAAACATATTATGGTCGATGCTGACCTTGTGGTGGAAGAACTTTCCAATTTTCATCGTGGTACGCCGCTATCGAACTGACTGGCCAGGTCCCTCAGGGCACTATCCACGGAGGTACTAGAGGTTGGTGGGGCCATAGGCATCTGACTATCTACGGAGACGAAAGCAACTGATTAGTTTTTTCCAAATTTGCCAATTCAAGGAAGGGTGAGAAAGCTCGTTGTGAACCATACAAGAACAGAGCCGTGCATGATTAGGATAGGAAGGTATAGGGTGTAAGAAAAGACATCAAGAATAGCAATTAGACACCCACTGAGGTTCTGTATCTTCTGGATAAAGCTGTACCAAGGAAGATTGCGAAGGAGGACAGCGTGATACATGCTCGATAGGTGAGTTTGCTCTAACTGGGGTATGCAGATCGTGATGTAGTTGTCACACCACTCGTGACCTGGATGAACGGGTCGTGCAAACTCAATCTCGGTTTCTTCACGTGTATATTCATAAATTTGTCTTTGTCCTCTTGTCTTCGCTTTTGCTCCTTTGGCTGATCAAAGACCCGGTTTCTTCTGGTGTTATACTTTCTTTTTTTTTTAGAGTTTCAATTTCCCAACATATTGGTTCTTACTAGAGGCAGCCACGCGACAGTGTCAGCATGTCGAGTCAACTTTAAGAAGGCTCGGCCCGAGGGAAGTCAACTTTATACCTAGCTTCAAAGCCATGTTCCTCCATCATATGTTTCATCATTTGATCTAACGTTCTCGATGAATAAGAAGCAATGATTTCTTCTTTGTGTCGATTCCATATCTCTTCCGGGATTCGAGGCGCTTTCTTCGGCATCGTGAAGCAAGTAAAGATGCTCCAGAGGGTCGGGTTTTCACGCAGGGGAAGACTTTGATGAAAGGGGGGGAGAGAAATTCGTCACCAACAATCCTTATAAACGGCGGGTAGGTGGTACTACATCTTTCTCGGGGGCGCACCGATTTCAATTGAGACCAGAGATTCTTCTTCTGGTTGGGCAACACCCGAGTCAGGGTTTACTAGGAGCACAGCCTCCGCATACTGACGCCTTCATTGGCTGAAGCCTAACTTCGGACGCTGTGATACGGTGCCGCAGAGAGCCCTCGACTTCCAGAATTTGGTTTCCTCGACTGTGCTGGACGTTTACTAGCGCTGTTCAGGCTATGGCCACAATTTGGATTTCACCGACCTCGCTATCCAAATCCAAAATTTGGTTTGTCGCCTGGAATATATAATAGTCGAAGGACACTATGGAAACGGACATTCTTCCAAAGGGCAACAAAGATGCCTTGGTCGATAGACACGTCGCTATCATTCATCACCCTTCTCCTCACAGGAATCTCGTTCCTTCTTAAAATCTGGAACCATGTTGTAAATTGGTCTTACAGTAGGGTTCTACCCCAAGGTTTGCGGTCGCACGGATTATAACAACCGATACTAATGAACCTAGTAGGAGTAGCCAGATCTACCCCCGAAACCTCGATTATCAGAAGACAACAACAACATCGTCATCAACTACACAGTGTCGATCCAGAGATTCTGCTCGAATCTGGGCTACATCCCGGAGCCTACCAAACGCTGATTGTTAATCAGGTATGTGAAGCGACACTACCCAAAGCTTCGAGCCCGGGTTGACTCGCAGAAGACACTCGTTGTAAACATCGGTTTAGTTGCGCATACTGTATGACCGACATAGCTGTTCCAGCTTTACCTTCGATATCTATCCATTGGGCTTTACAGAGATTCAATATGGCTTTGGGATATTACAGCTATCTTAATTATCTTTCAGAAAGAGAAAGTTCTTGCATTTGTGAATCGCAATACAGTCTTTGGGCCCTAATACAGTTTGATTAGAGGGAAGTGGGGCTCATACCAGTGGACAGTCTCAAGCCATAAAGCATAGAAATAACGGATAGGGCGTTTGAGACTTCGATGACTGACTACTTGAACTGAATGACTGAACTAGGCACCCTCGTATAAGTGAGGTGCATGGTTAGATCCCTACATCATCCTGCGTAGGCTCAGATTCGGGGCACACATCCCAACGGGATTGGGACTTTCAAATCAGGCACCATCAAATCCTAATTACCCCACAGGCAACTCTTGATCCTCTGGAGCCTCCCCTCCTCGAATTGTCGTACAAAAGGCCAAGGTGTCGGATGACTGATCCATGGCAGCCTTTTTCAAGGCCGTAAGATTGTGGCTACAGGTCGCGTGACTCTACGGGAAGGGTCGCGTGATCCTTACCCTTTACACGTGATCAAAACAAGCATTAGTCATCAATAACAAGTCGCATGATCTTTATAATTACTGTATCTTCCCGCTGAATTTTAACTTTTCTTTTAATTCATAATTTACAGTCTAACGGCAAGTAATTACTAAGTACTTACTAAGTACTTGAATATTATGGATTTCGAAGAGCTTCTATATATGAATTCTGATAGAGGATTTATAAACTACTTAGAAAGTAGTTATACTTACATTTTCCTTGAGTTCGGCCATGCTGATCGGTGGTGGTGGTGGTAGAGATAGAGGTAGTGTTAGTAAATGGTAAGA